TATTTTACGGAAATACACGTTTTAAGACCTCCTGATCATATTTTAATTATTGAAAAAAAAGAAATTTTTTTTTATTCCCATGTATGAGCACACATATGTATATTATTAATACGATTTTTGAAAATCAAAATACTTTAAGATTGAAAATTAATAAATTAAAATGAGATTCCACTCTTTACCAGTATTGTGCACGCTGTGGTATTTTTCAATAAGAAGAGTTCTTACTTTTATAACATAAACAAAACAGTAGAATTAATAATTGCAGAAATTAATTAATAATGATTTTCCTCGATTGTTTTGAGATAACCGTATCAATTTGTTATGACGAACTAAATAGAACTAACTAGAAACAAAGGAAAAGTGATCCCGTTTGCCAGTTTAATACAAAGTATGGGTTGGATCTTAAATTTTAAAAGGACATAGTCGAATATTTTTAAAGGTACAAAACATAGCGTTTCATTGTAGAACAGTAACATAAGTTAGCAGGTAATGTCATAAAACTGTTTTTCCCAGCTATATCCCTTTTTACCTGAAGTATAAGGTAAAAAGTACGAGCTACAAGGTACGACTATCCGAAAATCGTTCACATTTTATCAATGTAAATGAAGCGGCCTTTCCATCAGAGTTAAATACAAAATTTTGTTATTTCTGTGAAAACAGAACTTTCATTAGATGTAGGTGGTGCTTGAAATTGTTATGTTTTCACTGTTTTTACGAAAAGTACCATCCAGATTCATGTACTTCGTACATTGAAAATAACATATGTTAAATGTAATTGGTTAAATCAACTTTAAAAAAAAATATTCGAAGGTCAGACAAAAATATAATGTCACATTTAGTGTACGATTAAAATATGATTGAAAAAATAAAAAAAAAGGATTTGTTTTGGCAGGGTTTGAACCTGCAGAGCAGAAGAAGCTCGGAACTTGCAGGCAAATACCTTGTCATTCACGCCACGCTGGTTGTTCAATGTATTTCTATTTCTGAAGATAAGTATCTGTAATAACTTTAATAATATCTCAAAGTAAAACCTAACCCAAAATCGGGTACCATTCCAACTTTTCCTTGTTAGAACCGAGTTTTCAATTTGTCTTAGCGAAAATCGTAATCACATTTTGCACATTATTCTAAAACATTTGTGGTATTTGTTTTCAATGCGATTGAAGTAAGCATGTAATGTATAAGATTTCATTTAATTTTTGCTTTTCTAGAGAAGATAGAGAAAAAGTTTATATAATTTTTTTTATATGTAAGGCGTCGGGAAAAGGCGAGGCCCAAGCCGAGGCGCTGGCCTTCGTCCGTCAACACTCCCACCCCTACCGATGGGGGAGAAGGCTGACGACAAAGGCGAGGGTCTAGGCCCAGGATGGGCTCATTTGTTTTTCCGACGCTGAAAGAACGGGAATAAAGCATGTATACGAATACCCTGCGTATTTATTAATTCCTAATTCCATTCTACGCGTCTGTATAACATATATAAAATTTAATTCGTCCTAAGATTTATATGAAACATTTAAAAGATTTTTTATACATATGCCTATACATATATCGGAACAACTATGAAACAAGAGGTATAATCATTATTATCCATGGACTGATTATAGTCAAAGTCTAACCGGACTTTGAAATGAGAACATAAAACTTAAATGTAAAGTTTCATTTAAATTCATTTAGCTATTTATACTCAATCGTAATAATAATATACATATGTGTGCTCATACATGGGAATAAAAAAAAATTTCTTTTTTTTCAATAATTAAAATATGATCAAGAGGTCTTAAAACGTGTATTTCCGTAAAATAAATTTTACAAAATTTTTTTTTCATTATGGGTACTTTGCTTATGTGCGCCTACATAGGTCGGAAAGTAAAAATGCCTGAGCAGTCGGGAATCTCGGCTCGAGAATCCGAATCGTATGCCGTTGACGGGAGGTCGGATTTCAGTTGTTAAGAGCGAGAAGGCAAATGTGAGCCTTTCTCTCTCGACTCCCACGAAGCGGTCCGAAATTACTTCGGGCAGCTTCGGAGAATCGAGGAAGAGGGCATGCGTCAGTTTGCCTTTGTCGTCTTTCCGAAACTCCACGAGCTCACGTACGCGTATCTAGCATGCATGAGTGTGCACCCGACGGTGCTTTTCTGGCATCACTGGATAGTAACAAATATAGTTACACTAGTTACACCACAGTATTAAGGTATATTATTTCCCCCGCATCGTTTAACCCCACAAGAGGAATAAAACAGTTGCTTAATAATTAATATGATGCATCATAAGAACGTTTGCGCGACACCAAATTGCAAGTAAATTGAGTTTCTAATAGCTATATACTATGTGACAAACTTTTCTCTAGATCTGCGCACAACTTAAACGTATTGTAACTTTAATGCAACGTTGCTAAAACGAAATTTTGTTTAACATAATCGATAAATTTTTTCTGTTTTAATAACAATTAGTTGTAGAATTAAAAAATGATCAACTCATTTATGATCTTAGAGTCTTTATCTTTTCCACATATAGTAGGAAAACAATAGTTTTAATGAGCATAATTTCTTTACCTATGTACATACAGAATAGTCTTTCAATACTTTTGTCATTTTACAATAATTAAAAAAAAGAGGGATTTGATTGAATGCCAGAAAAATTATTTTCTTTGAATATTAATAGATTGTTTATTATTACAAATTATTTTCTATTTACATTCTGTATAGATTCAAACACTTTACATATTCATAATCTTTATTGCTTAACACGTATTGACATATGTTTAAAACTGTCAAGTAATTATGAAAACGATCAAATAAGATTCATTTATTTTTAAATTCCATACAATTTTTGAAAAATTAAGAGATGGCCTTTGATTTTGCTTTGTGTAATTTTAAGATTAATTGTTTAAAGATGTTACAAACGTGTTTAAGTATAAATGTATTTGAAAACTAGTGAAACTTGAGACATTTGTAGACAATTGCTATTACATTGCTATGTCTATGTATATATACGGTGGTTCATTTAACTTTACCAATTTAATTTTTTTTTAATCAAATTTTTTCTATCATGAATGATACTTCGAAGATTCTTTATTTAATTTTTTTCATCCAAATTCTCAAAATCATCTTACAATTTTTTTGTTCACCGAGTATTTATACAAATTTTGTATAAAAAATTTATTTTCAATAAAATATATTCAATATCATAAAATAATTCTTATTTCGACCTGGAAAATATAGTAAAAAGATTTCTACAATTTAATTGTCGCGACTAATTAATTCGTTTATACTTTGGATGGAGAATAAAATAATAGTAGACTCGAAAATAATTTAGTTGGTCCACCCAGTATACCTATGATTGTTCCCAGCGACCAATTCCACTGTAATTTAACTATTGGACGGAGTTCAACAGTCGCCCTTTGCGAATAACGAACTAAATTATGAGCTGAATTCCATTCAATAATGTTTAAAATTCTATTTTTTAACAAGTATTATAAATCATTGAATACATAAAATATAACTCGATGACAATATCATTATTTTATTGTTTTATTATGGCTATTACATTTTATTTTGTATAACATTTATATAGTATGGAATGATACTTACTGAAATATATTTAAAATTAGAAAAAAAATTATCGATAGGTAATATTAAAGGAATTCTCTTCTTTTTATATTTTGGCTGTTAATTTTAATTATTCTTGGTATTAAATTCCAAATTTTATAAACATATGATATTAAACAAATTAGGATATTTTCTTTATTGGCCTAAATAACAACTTTAAGGTCCGAAAATTGTTCTTCCTTAATTACTGAATTTGTAAACAGTAAATAGGGACTTTTAAGACTCGTATTATTTTTCTTCGTCCAGATAGAAGCGACATCGAATAGCAACGAATAAAAGAAAAAACTAGTGTTTTTGATAAATAAATAACAAAAATAGTTCCAGAAAATCATCATTGATCGTTTAAACAACAATAATTGGAGTTTTTTACCCGAAATTTTAAAACGTATAAATAACGTTTGTTGCGTCGAAGACTGAAATGGACGAAATGGATAAATCTGCCTTTGTAAACAGATTATAGTTCATGAACGTTCGTCGAGGGTCAGTTGCAAATGGCTTGGGAACATTATTCGCCCATCACAAAAGTTCCAGAGCCAACCGACAGCCAATTGATTAAAACCTCTGTGCATTCCGGCATACGTGACGTAATTGAACAGTTTATAGACCGCCTAACAGTGATACTAATTCCAAATTGTACAGGGTGCTTCAGAAATACATCCAAACGTTTAACGACTTTAATTCCTCCCTTCAAAATAACTAAAAAATTGTCCTATCTCAATTCTCAATTTTCGGCTACTGAAGACAATTCTAAACACATTTTACATCTTAACATATCTGTACATGTATGTGGAAATTGTGAGAAATTAATTTTTATAGCCATAATTCCTTTTAATTTTTCTATGAAATTATTATATATTTTCAATTATTTATAAAATTGAAAAAATTTAATATTCTTATACTTATTAATTTATTATTTAAATTTATATTATGTTTTATCAAGAAGAAGCTTTTATTATAGAATTTTCGTAATGAAATAATAATACTGCGATACAATATAAGAATATATTAATAGCTTAGATAACAATATACTAAATGTAAATGTTACGTGTGGTTATCTCTATTTACAGGTAACGACTCAAGTTCGATACTGTTTTCTATTCAGTAACTTTTATTGATTTCTAAAATATTACTAGAAAATCAAATCTTTTAGTGATATAGTGTCGAAAAATACTATCTGGATTTTGAGTTTATTATTTCTGATATCAATTTATTATTTAAATTGACGCTGAAGTTCATCTCAGATCAAAAAGTAACTAGATAAATGTCGCTACGTGGAATATCGTTGCGTGAAAATGAGCCTTATTAGATTTCGGTCCAAAGAAAGTGGAGGGGATGGGCGCCATTTCTTTTAAAAGCGCATGCCTGCGCGCCTTCTCGACAGTTTCGTTTCGACTGTGAATTAAAACACATCGGGCGTATTAATATTTGTTTTATTCATGAATTTTATTTTTATTACATCGTAAAAATATATATCACGGATTAACTCGGGTATCAATAAATCTATTGTTTATTATCAATTAGTACGTTTCTCGACGATGAGCTCCAAATAGAATCCTGTTTTTTCCAGTTCCGTCGCTTTATAATTTCTAATTCTTAACAAACTATATTTTTTACAATAGGATATTCAACATATTGCTATTATTGTTTGTAAAATCAGTGTGGAAGGCTTTGTTTTGAACAAAATGGCTTTGAAAATTCGTGTTGATTCGCCTAATGTGAAATACACCGACGATTATATCGAAGCACAATACGAGTATCGAACGACGTACGTTACGGTGGACGATCATGCAAAATACACTGTAAGTATCTAGAAAATTCTTTTTTCGCTTATACCATATTTTTAATTCGATTTGTTTTTATTAAGTATCTTGAAATGAAAATGTTGGAACGAAGAAAATGACATATTTTTGTATTTACCGCTCGAACCTACACTAAGCTATTCATTAAATAAATACCATAAAAAATACAATCCGATTTAAAATTAAATTTTTCTGTTTTACTGACCGAAAGTATTTAACATCATTAGAAGAAACGTACTTTGAAATAATTTTCATATTTTTAAACAATGGTAATAATATATTCAATCTTTGAAGTTCTGAACGACTATAATCGATAATCGATAACGATTTTAATAAGTTAAATACATCGATAACTGTCTAACGCATCGATGTTATAAACAATATACATAAATGTTTATTATTTATAGATTTTTCAATAATCGTTAGATTTTATTATTTTTTGTTGGAAGAAATTATTTTTGTATTTATTGAGATCCAAATAGAAAATATACTAATTCCAATAATAGAATTATTATTACAACAAATATTAATTAAACAAAAGATATTATTTAAAAGAATGTTTAAAAAGTTATAGTAATAGATAGTAATAAATAATGCATCGAACTGACAAATTTAAGTCCAAATTCTTTATTTTTCCTGACATATAAATAATATTGACAGCTTCGTATTAATTATTATTAATTGAATAATCAAGTATCATAACTGAACAAAGTATTTAAACAATAATTATTTATAATTTTATATTTCTATTTTTTTGTTAAGAAAAATTCTAAAATTTGTAAGTTAACCTGACAAATCTACGAATAACTAAATAAATTATTATTGACTTTATGAATCATGCTCCATTCATGAAAAAAAAATAGTATTATAGAAATTATCTTATTAGTAATCAACAAAAATTCGTAAGTGTTATATATTTCAGATTTTTTATTTGAAAATTCTTTTCTATGAAAACTAAAAACAAAATAAAAGTTTTTATACTTCATACTATAGCAAAAAAATAAATCCTTGGATAGAAATATTAATGAATCACTATGCTTATTGTAATTTTCTCTAAACTGTTAAGAGAAATATATTACAGAAGTATAAATTGCGTTTCTGTTTTAACAGGCAACACCAGCAACTACAAATCTCGTGATTAGAACACAATTAAAAGTTCCGAAGCTTGGAGTGATGTTGGTGGGATGGGGTGGAAACAATGGAACTACTTTCACTGCAGCGCTTTTAGCAAACAAACATAAGTTGACCTGGGAAACAAAGCATGGTCTTCAGAAATCAAATTGGTACTTACGATATTCTGATAAAATCTTTGTTGTTTATTGAACTAATCTTTAGATGTTACATGTACTATGTAGAATCGTGATCCATCCCAAAATTTTATTGCAGCTATGTAATTATAGTTTGATTCACTATGAAAAAGTTAAGAAAAGATAGAAAGTACAGTCAAAGTGGAACAATCGTAATTTAATATGCATTTCTTTTTTCTAATCAAGTGTTCCTTCAATCAATGTTACAATAATGAAACTTTTTCACTATCTATCACTCTGTTGATTATCTTTGTGATAACTACAGACACTAGTTTAGCTTCTGCATTGGATTTCAGGTATGGTTCTTTAATTCAAGCATCTACCATCAAACTAGGTAGAGGGAAAACAGAAGATGTGTTTGTTCCCATGTCCTGGATGCTTCCAATGGTAAATCCAGATAATATAGAACTTGATGGCTGGGATATATCTGACTTGAATCTGTTCAAAGCCATGCAGCGAGCGAAGGTTTTGGATATCAATTTGCAGAAGCAATTGGAGACACACATGGTGTCTATGAAACCCAGGAAAAGCATATACTATCCCGATTTCATCGCTGCAAATCAGGTAAACATTTCCACTTTATTTCCAATCAATATTTACCCTTTGGTTTTGGAATGAACATTTTGTGTTCGTGTTTCCAGGAAGAAAGAGCAAACAATATTATCCCGGGTACGAAACTAGAGCAGTTAAATTTGATCAGAAAGGATATTGCTGAGTTTAAAAATGCTAAGAAGTTGGATCAAGTGATTGTGCTGTGGACTGCTAACACAGAACGATTTTCCGAAATAATTTGTGGCCTCAACGACACTGCTGACAATTTGCTAAAAGCCATAAGCGATAATCATTCAGAAATCAGTCCAAGTACAGTGTTCGCAGTTGCGGCAGCTCTGGAAGGCGTAAGTTTAAAAATTTACTACAATAAATCTTTCCATTTTATGGTATATTGTACGTTTTATTAATTTCAGTGTACATATATAAATGGTTCACCACAAAATACCTTCGTACCAGGTGCAATAGAATTAGCAAAGAGACAAAAGACATTCATTGGTGGTGATGATTTTAAATCTGGACAGACAAAGCTGAAATCTGTACTAATCGACTTTTTGGTCTCTGCTGGTATTAAACCAGTGTCGATAGTCAGTTATAACCATTTGGGAAATAACGATGGGTACAATTTGTCTGCTCCGCAACAGTTTCGATCTAAAGAGGTAATGATCTTGTAAGAAAATTGTTAAATATTGGTTCAATTAATTACTCATAATTTCTTTATTAGATTTCTAAAAGCAACGTGGTAGATGACATGGTACAATCAAATAGGATTTTATATAAACCTGAGGAAAAGCCAGATCACTGCGTCGTTATCAAATATGTCCCATATGTTGGTATGAATGCAAAATATAAAAATTGTCTGTGACTCTTGTTTCTGAATCCATCAGAAATGCGATAAAAACAGTAGCATAAAAATAAACAGAATTACATTGCATTACGAATACCGAAACTATTTAATGTTTGATTAGGTGACAGTAAACGGGCAATGGATGAATACACATCGGAAATATTACTCGGAGGGCAGAACACTATAGTGATTCATAACACCTGCGAAGATTCCCTGTTGGCCAGTCCAATAATACTGGATCTGGTTTTATTGGCAGAGATTTGCTCACGCATCAGTTTCAAGCTAGCAGACACGGAAGAGGAATTCACCAGATTTCACAATGTACTCTCTGTATTGTCATACCTTTGCAAAGCGCCACTGGTTCCACAAGGGACACCAGTGATAAATGCATTATCCAAACAACGAGCCGCGATTGAAAATATTTTGAGAGCTTGCCTTGCATTACCCCCTGAGAATAATATGTTGCTCGAACACAAAGTGATTTTTGGTAAGCAAATATAAACCAGAGAAACAAAATTCTATCTTGAGAGTGAAGAAATTACTATCAAAGAAGTAAAGAACGAAGAAATAGTATTACGTTAGAGTAATACGAGAAACAGGAAATTTTAAATCTTCCTGTAAAATTTTTCACAGAGTCTATGAGATGAAGGTTTTGGAAAAGCAGATATCACAAAAGTTATTTAGTGTAAATTTTGATTGTTTTTAATTAGTAGAAGTTATATGTAAGTTTGAAGAAAGATTTGTCTATAAACTACAATATTTAATGTATTAATTTCGCAAAATTTTACAGCGCACAGATGATGTATATTTTGAAAAGAAAAAACATGAAAGTGTATACTTTTATTTTTTTGAATAATAAAAGAGTCATTAGTTTTTTACGAACGTGTAATTCGCTAGTTGTTTACATTTTCAAATTTATAGGTAAGAGAACTGTAGAGTAATAATGAAAAATTGTTTCAAAGGGTATAGCCGAATAAGGGGGTCAAATGTGCCCCCAAACCAAATTGAACGTGCGATGGGTCATTCGATAGCTAATCAAAAGAAAACTCTTTGTACTGATTTTTAACCCGAAATCTCGACGGTGGGGGTAGTAATGGGATGATAAAGAAAATCATGTTTTTGCGCAATTTCTCTTGTCCTACTGAATAAAAAGATGACATTTCAGAGACATTTCGGGTTTCGGGAAAGTTTTTTAAATTGAAGCACCAGGTAGTAAAAAGTAAAATCCCGCAAAAAATGCCGATTATGCATTGAAGCAGTTGCAGAATTAGTACTTGACCCCTGCAACCGCAAATAATTTTTCCAGAACGATTTAAAATATTTTAATTTCGCCGAAAAATTTATCGAATCTCGAAAGTACGTAGGATTTCGGGGGTATATGTATTCACCAGGAATGATTGTAATTGAGCTCCGCATGATTATCGTACCTGTGAGTCGAAACCCTAACGATTAAGAGAATAGATGCTCCTTAGTGTATTGGTGGTATTCTCCGAAGTCTTGACGAAGTACACTCACACGTTACTTTTTTTTGTACGTGGGGAAATCCTCATGGACACCCGCGGGCCCGCCCGAAGGGAGGGTCGACAGGTAGTGCCGGACTCTTACCAGCTAAAACCCCACGGTGACCATCCTCAAACGCCTGGCGAGGGATCGGGAAGTTCCCTCTAGGGAACTCTAGTGAGACATCAAAGAGTCCCCTGCCACGCCGTGCCTTTTCAGGCCCCTCCCGTAACATGGGACCAAGCTGCCGGCCGCGTGGCCAGTGGGCACATTGGTCGCAGCCAACTGGCCAACCTGCGGCCTTGGGTAAAACCCGCGGCAAGTATTCCATGCCCCAGTCCGCTCACGCACACAACATATTCATACCGGTGTTTAGTCCGCGGGAGCTTTTGCTCCGACCTCCGGGATGTCATGCGAGGATGCGACCACCAGCCTTCTCAGGTTGATGACCTCATCCCCGCATCCCATCCCAGCAGCTACCCCTATCCGCCACTTGGAGACGCGCCACGTAGGGGTTCACCTCCCCTGTCACCTGAACAACCAAACGGGTGCGTGGACTCACACGTTACTGATGAGAAGTTGTCCTTCCCAGAAATCTTGTCATCCTTGGGGTTTTCAAGAAATAACCCACCTAAATTTGCACCAACGTAACAAATATATGTCACCCATTACCAACGACCCTGAGATGCACATGAGGAAATAATGCTCATTCATAGGAATAATAAAAATGCCTGGGCAGTCGAGATTCGAAATTGTATGCCACTGACGCGAGAACGAACTTTAGCTTTTCAAGATCAAGAAAGAAAGACTCACACTCGCCTTCTTTCTCAATTTCTCGAAGTTGCGTGAAGTGCCGAGTTCGCGTAACATGGCTCTCCCTATTAAGTACTTTGTAGACGCTAAAGAAGTTCGTCGTTACTAGTGTCGCCGTCGATGCACTGAATTATGCCAAATCTGGCCACACTGCTTACGAGTTACGATACGATGCAATTTTAGAAAGCACATGCATCTGAAAATCTCAGGACGATTGGTGGCTTAATATCAAAAGGTTATTTGTAAAATTATGAATTCTACCGCTTTGTCATCTGGAACTTTGGGTCATTCGCCAGGTCAAAGAACGTCAGAATCTCAAGATTCGGAATTAACCTCTAGCGGGAATGAAACATCGAAAATTTTAAATCAAATGAAATCCGAGTCACAGGCACGAAAACAACAGAAACGTCTACTTCGGGAATTGCATTTAAAACGCGTTCAATCGTTGAGGAAAGAATTGGAGTATATTAAAGCAACAGAGTGGAGATATCAGCCAATTGATCGGTATATTTCAATACTAGACTTTTTAATTTACAAAGTCTCTTTGTGGGTTACACTAATACAAATCTTATCCGTAACATGTTCGTAGGTACATGGATAGAAACTATAGAAATTAAATATGCTGTCCTTAATATATACCTTCGTAAAATACGTCGTAGGAAATAAGTTGCCTATTAAGAATGACACGGACGAAATAAACAGTGTCATAAAACGCATTGAAAATGTTTATGAGAAAGAAATAATGAAAGATGAATATTTTCATAAGGATGATTGTTATTACAAGATAGGAAAAGTCACTTTCATTGCGACAGATTATATTTTGGTTGATAATTTTTATATATATGATACAGTGAATGGTTTTATAGATAATTTAAAAATAGGAGATAAAGTCCAATATTTAGCCTTGCAGGAAGGCCATGAGAAGGAACATAAAATAAAGAAAATTATTTGTGTGATAGATGACTCTTGGGATAACGATGTTCCAAATTTCCAAACAAATTGTGTCGAATCACAAGCATTAACAAAATGCATAATTGGAAAAGTACTAGAACGCAAGAATCGAATATTAGTTGTAGACCCTAATAATATTTCTGTTGATTTAAACAAAGTGCAATCAGAATTTATTCCTGTGATTGGAGATTGGTTAAATATAGAGGCAGAAGTAGAAATACAGATAAACTCTTCTAATCTAAATGAAGAAATTTTACAGATAAAAAAGATTCAACCTTTGCGGTCCAAGTTGGATTGTGGAACTATATCTAGTTACGATCCAAGCAAAGAAATTGGTACTATTGGAAAAGATATAGTATTTAATAGAAGGATATGTGATGCTGGTTATGTCCCTCGTGTTGGTGATAAAGTGATTAGTGATAGTATCGAAAGTGATCAAGGACTTTATACATGGAGATCATTAACTGTAGTTCCAATACTTCAGGCAAGTGCTACTTTGATAATGTTACTTAGCTATACATTAAAAAATAATGATACTGCTCAAATAATATTATTCAAATGATTTATTTTTTGTGTAATCATTTATCTAGGATAAATTATAATATCTACATAAGTCAATTTTATTGAGAAATAGAATCACATTTGTAGAAGTTTTGAAAATGAATAAACTATTTCATAAGAAAATTTAAACTCTAAATGATACAAATAAATCTGTTTTTTATAGGTTTCACGAAAAGATACTTTACCAGCATTATGCAGTACACCTATAACAAAAAAGAACTTAAATGATCTTATAAAAAATAAATGTGGAATACATATTAGTAGTAATACAAATATTGATTTAAACATGTTAGAAGAAAAAACTGTAACACTTACAATACAAAATGTAGGTAATAGTACTCATGTACTATGTAAAGCTTACTTCATGACAAAGAAAACTCAGTCCCAATTAGTTTTAGTAAAACCAACTACTGTTAGTACTGTCTCAGTATTAAATCCCTCTGATACTTTAACTTATATATTTAAATGTAAAGCAAAATTTATTGGTACAAGCGAAGAACTATTTATCTTCAATTTCAAAGGTTTTGAAATTGGAAGAATTTTTTATGTATATGTAAAACCTAAAAGTATACAAAAGAAAACATGCTCAGAAGATGATAATGTCAAAATTAATAAACGCGATCGTGTACCAGATCTAGATGAATGGAATGAAGCAACGTACATTCCAGGTGTTAAACCATATAAACCAGCAACATTTATTAAAGTACGTAACGTAGCGTTCAAAGTTCCGCAGCGTTATTGGGATGTAATATTACAATGTTTAAAAGATGGGAAGTCACAAACTGAGTGTGCACATAATGTAGGAAATGCTGTACCTTGTTTGTTAAATAGACTTTGTTTTCAATCATACAAAGATCGTTTTCATGCTTTATTATATTTAGAAGAAATTGCTCAAACAATAAATATACAACAATACAGCATAGAAAGCACAATTATGAGGCATTGTGAAAAATACTTGGTGATGGAAGTGCCTGGTCTTGCTGAAAAACGCCCATCTCTTCTTATTGGTGACAGAGCAATAGTATCTTTCAAGTGGGATAATTCTCAAGGTATGTTATCATATGTACAATTAATACATATGTATATGTACATCTATATTAAATATACAATCTACAATAATAAATATGTTATACAATAATGATAATAAAAATTATTATACAATAATTAATATATATATGTATATTAATTTGTATGGTGGTTGCAATAGGAAAACTGAAATATGAAGGATTCATTCACAAAGTTACAAGATCAGAAATATTTTTGAAATTTAATCACAAATTCCATCAAGAGTATAATTATGAGGACTGTCAAGTGACTTTCAAATGTTCACAATCTGGTATACAATGTGGTCATAATGCTATTAATATGGCTGTGAATCGTTTAGGTGCTGACTTTTTGTTTCCTACGCATGTGGTTGAAAAAGATTCTCAATTAAATCTTGAAGAAATTGTAGTAACAAACGAAACATTTCCTAAACAAATGACTCATCAACGAACTGATTCCATATCATCAGAGTCCTCTTGTATTAGTACTACATCTACAAGTAATAAATCTAGTAGTACATCAAAGTCATTTACAAAAGTATCTGTTGTAGAAAGATTATTTAACGTTAAACCAATGGAACAGACTCCAGAACCTGTAACGAGTCCTGTTACAATAATAAAAGACAATCAACACAGTGAAATAAATGTAACAAAAAATGAAATGAGCATTTCAAAAAATTCAGGACATACAGTATCACAAAGAAATGCAAAACAAACAGCATCTATTTCTTCTCCCAGCGACGATTTACAACCATATATTTCGCAAGTAAAGAAACGAAAATTACTTTGGTTTAATAAAAACCTGAACTACTATCAAAAAGAAGCCATAAGGAACATACTGAAGGGACATGCGCGGCCATTACCTTATGTAATATTTGGACCACCTGGCACTGGGAAAACTGTCACTCTTTGCGAAGGAATCCTGCAAATTTTATCAATGATACCTGAGAGCCGGTTACTAATAGCAACACCGTCTAATAGTTCAGCAAATCTTATAGCAGATCGACTGTTAGACAGTAATGTTCTTAAACCTGGCGACATGGTACGGCTTATAGCTCATCATTATTTAGGTAGTGATTCTATATCAGATAAATTATTGCCGTATTGCGCCACTGCAGAATTAGCAGAAGAAGGAACACAGGAAAGAACAAAGTATAATGGAGTGGGACCAAGATTAAACTGTTCCATAAGTATACTTGGTCGTCACAGAATTACTATTGGTACCTGTGGTGCTTTGGGTATATTGCACAATATGGGTTTTCCCCATGGACATTTTTCACATGTATTAATCGATGAGGCTGGCCAGGCAACGGAACCAGAAATTATGATTCCACTCAATTTTATTCATTCTGATTATGGACAAGTAGTTCTTGTGGGCGATCCGTTGCAACTTGGTCCGGTTGTACAAAGCGGAATAGCAAAAAGCTTTGGTCTGGACGAATCGTTTTTGTCAAGGCTGTTGCGACATTTTCCTTACCAAAGAGATCCTAATGGCTTTGAAACACACTATGATCCTCGTCTTATCACAAAGCTTGTTATGAATTATCGAAGTTTACCTGAAATACTCGAATTGTCAAGTTCTCTGTTCTATAATTCTGAATTAATAGCACAGGTACATATATTTGTGTCGTAAAAATCATATTTTACAGGATTTATCAAATTGAGGAAGTAATTAAAAAAATATTTCCAGATATCTTCCAAAAAAAGCAAAGAAGCAAAGCTTTTATTAACATTAGCCGATGAATTACCAGAAAGGAAAAGTACTCCCCCAGCTATAGTCTTTCATGGTGTTAATGGGGAGAATTGTAAAGACAGTGATAGTCCAAGTTGGTATAATACTGAAGAAGCAGCGCAAGTATATCTTTACCTTTTGAAACTATACAAGTGTGGTCTTTCACCCGATGACATTGGAATCATAACTCCTTATCAAAAGCAGGTAAGGTGTTTAAATATAATTTATAAAATAATAATTATACAGTCACTTCACATTTTATTTGTTATCAATTGCTTGTTGTAGGTCCATGAAATTCGAGATATGCTTATGGAGTTAGACACAAAATTACCAAAAATCAGCAGCGTCGAAGGATTTCAAGGTCAAGAGCGTAATGTTATTATTATTTCAGCCGTGCGATCCTCAAATAATTTTGTTAGCGAAGACATTAAACACGCACTTGGATTTGTTGCTTGTCCTCGAAGACTCAATGTAGCAATTACTCGTGCTCGTGCTTTGATCATAATTTTAGGAAATCCTAGACTTTTAGCTCAAGATCCTTATTGGAGGAACGTTTTAATTTATTGCATCAACAAAGACTCTTATACTGGATGCAGCTTTGTTTTTTCTGATATAGAAGACTCTCTGGCGGAAACAAATGATTCTTTTATCAGTAACGATACTAATATTTTGTTATGAATCGCGACAACAACAGTAACTATGCCTTTTTTTCTCGAAGTATGTATTTATTACCGAATTACAAAATTACTGTTCTTTTTTTGTACAGTATTCCGAGTGATTTAATAAAGAAATAAATGATATTGTTTTTAATATGTACAAATTTCATTTTAAAGATAATGTACTTTCTGATAAATTAATGCAAGGTTTTAGTACAAAATATATATATTTTTTATGAAATACCTAGTTTTAAGCGATACGTTAGTGATTTCTAAATTTCATTTGTCCATAATCGTGATTCATGGTGTATATTAAGTTGTTTTAGATAATGAACAATGGATTTATTTTTTATGTTGAATATCTTTCTAAAATTATTCGATGTTGAAAGTAGAATAGAACAATAGTGAGGTTTTAGCACAAGTATTTAATTGTTTCTCCTCTGCATATTTCCAATCACGGAATACGTAAATACACACATAGTATACAATTTGCATGCTGTAATTTAGACATATACATGCGTTTATTCAAAATGCAGGCAATTTATTCATGTAATTTTACTTTTTCTATGAATGTATGAAAAAGAATATATTCATTTTATTATACAGTATGTGATTCTCTTTGCGTTTAAAACTGGATTATTTTAATATAGATGTTGTTCTTGCACTCTGAATTGAATTAAATGCTTTTTTTGATAGTATCTCCGTACATGATGTTGTGACGTCACAAGACCAAATTCCAAGGAGTTTTTAGTACTACAAAAAAATAAAACCTCTTACTATGATGCATATAAATAACAGTATTTAAACTAGATTCAGAATTTACCAACATTTCGCTGTATATTTATAATTCATGAATATATGAATAACTTCATTGTGTCATTACAATGTAAGTATACCATTTAATAAAAATAGAACTTATTTTCAAAAAAGTTAACATATAAATATTAAAGTAATGAGGGTTCTCTTCTACATTTTTATTATACAAAAATAAAGTATAACTCAAATAATTAAATAAAATCTCTAAGGTTGGAAATGCTGGCTTGGCCCTTTCTATTTTTACGTCTAATTCAAATGACAAAACGACAAAATACTTAAGTTAAATAAATTAAAATAATATTACTAACTTTACTTAGTTCCACACTATGCTTACTGGCTCCTGATTTTTAGCTTTCAATTTGCGTTCAATTAAGTTTTCTAATGCTTCGCTTCGCACGCTTAACGTTTCGATTTTTTCGACTAATTGCTGGTAGGGCGAGGCAGGTTGTCCACCCATTACAACATGACCTAATTTACTGTCTATTTTGGCATCTAATCGTGCATTACGTATTAAATTGACGATCCAGCATTCGGCTACGTCTGCTTTCATATTAAGTTTTTCTGCAAGCATTCTGTAATACAAAACATACGTTGAGAAGATATTGGAAATCATTCATTTAATCTAAAAATTAAAAATGTAATGTTATTTTACCCAATACTGATACATTGATGAATTCGGCAGAATGTCTCGAAGATCATTAAACGAGCATTTTCTACAAATTCGTTTAGTAACGCGATCAAGAAGAAGTCATTAAATACAACTGTTTGACACTCTTGCAATTTTTGTCTAGCTCCATCAAAATCGAAGTTGACGTACAAATGTTCTAGAAACTCGGTAATAGGATCACGATACGTATAAGATTCCTGTTAACAAAACATGATTTACGTTACAAATTTTAATTATGTCAATTTTATAACATTTTAATAAAGATGTTTTACACACCTGTTGTATTACTTTTACAAGATCTTTTAGTATAGATCGCCTGGAACGATTAACGATGACAGCTGCAGCCAAATATCGTAATATATGAGGACACATTGTTTGAATAGCATTGAGGTAACTGTGAAAGTAGTATATAGATTTTAGTTTCTCTTCTATATTCGGCATATTATATACGAGGGTGTGTCAATAATTATCTGGAATAAGGTTATATTTTTGTTTCTGTTAGCAATAATATTTTTTTTTAACAGTATTGCTTGTAAGTGGTTTCAATCTTATTATCAATTCAGTTGTTACATGGTCAATCCACTTAACCAATTTGCAACACTGAGCAAAATATTACGCGCACAATAATCGTCTCTTGTCACCGAACGCGAACTATTCCGCGAGCCATAAACAGCCGTTTGTGGAACAATGGACCAAGTGCATTGAAAAGCACCAGGATTATGTTGAAACATAATGTTAATGTCGACATTCTATTTGTATTCGAATAAAAATTGATAGTAACATTGTGGATAATTATTGATTCACCATTGCAATAATGCTTGTGAAAGTATATGCATACTGTGGTCTATAAAGAAACATTTCTATAATTAAATCTCTGCCTTTCACATGATTGAAAAATACAAATAAACTCCAATGAATAAGCCACGTTCTTTGTTGTAATATTTGAAGAGAGTTTCCTATAACATTACTATCAATATATTCTCTCAGCTTGTTTACATCTTCTAATGCAGTCTCCCAATTTTGCACTAAAATTTCTGATGCCAATTTGCCCCAAAGCACATTTAAATAATTCTGAAAATTATATATGAATTTATCATACAAATAAACTATTAAAAGCTTACAATATATTTTATACACGCTAAATATGTTATAATCATACCTTATCAGTTGGTGGCATTATAAGCATATAGAAATATAAATACGATGTAGGAATAGCATAATTGCCACACTCGTAACGATATTTTGCTAATTTTACAAAGTTATCCATCATTTCCACTCTGAACTACAAACATGTAACAGACAAATTAGATTACATTTCTTTTTAATTATCTACATACATACATTCCTATGTTTGTTACCACCATTTAGGTGGATAATCGTCTGCTACAATGCTGTATTTATAGTAATTTTATTTAATGTATTGTACGTTTTTAACTATTTATGAATAAAATGTATAACATATTTTGAACATGTCACACCAGATTTTACAGATAAATATATTATATTAAATGAATGAAAGATGAGTTATTTTGTGTTTGTTTTAAAATACAAATTATTATAGTATTATATTACATGTACTGTTACACTTACATCAGCCTCTTGAGTTAGATAATTATTCAATGCTTTAGAATCTCGCATATTTTCCATTTTTTTCATGACTTCCTCATCATTCATAAGTGCAACTACAACCGATACACTATTTTGTAAAATACCAAGCTCCTGAACTACATCTGCACGATGAGCTTTTAACTCCTATAATAAAAGAAAGTTCTTATAGCCAGACATGTCATTCGCAAACATTAATTTCTGTTTATTACATTTATTCATACCTCTGGTATTTCTAAGTTAGGATACAGCTGTTTCCTAATATCAATTGTGTAATCAATCATATTTGTTTTACTAAGAATATCGAGTTTAGCTTGAAGTAGTTCGTCCTCATCGTAATTCTGAAACACGGAAGTGCATTATAACCAAAACGCATATGGTCAAAATATTTCCTTTTTATCATACCTGTTTTGCAGATAAAAATTCCAAAAGAGGAAACACTAAATGTCGATCAAGATATTGACCTATACGTGATGTCAGATCGAATTTCGCCATTTCGACTTTCAAATTATCCAGCAAAAGCAATTCTGCGCACAAATTACAAGTAAAAGGACCAGACGAACAGTTCGTCACGAACCAAACCCACGCTTCACGATAATATCAAAAACGTAGAATAGAATAGATAGAAAATTTTTATTGAGTAGGTGAATTGCAAGTTCTCAATTTTTTAACACTAAAGAACTATAGTATAGTGACATCTTTCAACTAGGGGAAATCTAGAAACTGGACTCTAGTTATTTATCACAGTGATCACATTTGAAAACTAAAATATTAATTTTTCTTCTTGAAATTAAAATCATAATATTAATCGTTTCAATAGTTCAAAAGTGTGAACAATTTCTGTTACACTTATGCATGTATACTATGTTATATATAAAGTTTTGCAAAATACTAATGAATTACTTAATAATAATATAAAATGCAAATAATAGTTTGAAAAACACGATATCAAGGTAAACGCGTATAAAAGCTACTTGATACGTACTCGAAAATATTCTATAAATTTATTATTTTTTTGAATTTAAAAATAAAAATACAGAAATACTTTTTTCAATAGTTAGTTTTCAACATTTTCAGTCATTCCTTTAAAATGAAAAATTACGCACGATTAAATAGTAATATTTGTTTCCAACAAATGCTTTAAAATACATTTTGCCAGAATAATTGTATAAATTATTTATTTATTTTACAAAAGATTGAAATTATAAAATAAATAAATCGATGATCAAAAGAGAAAAGCTTTAGGAAATAGTTTAAAAGAAACATATTTGTTAATGCAAAAATTGCGAGTAATGAGACATTCAACTGTCCACATTAATTTAAAAAATATTACAATAGAAAAATCAACATTAGATAACAATTCTGATGTATTATATATAATTTTACAAATTAAGGAATATGGGAAATAAATTAAACATTAACATGACATAAATTTGTTAACAATCCTTTAATGAATATAAGAGAATTACAAGAATATATTCTTACATATAACTAGATCAATACAATTTGCCATTCTTGGGATTACATACCAATAACAAAATTAATATATACTGATAGCAAGAAGTACTGAAGATGAAATTTACATAAAAAAGTAAACACTATCAATACTACCGATTTTACTAGATATCGCCGATAGAGATATTACTATCAGCAGTCAGTTACAATACATGAATTTCCATGAAGTCACTAACTGCAGTGAGGTTTCCTTACACTCAAATTTCCGGCATAACAAAACTCTTTGATGGTCGAGTTAAGTATTAATTGATTAAATGGAATATATTGAACCAGGAAACACATTCTAAAGCGTTCCGTTCAACATTGAAGATGACCTGAAAGAGTTCTCGAGAATTCTAATTACAGATCCCTTCTTCTTCAAACAGCATGGCGTTTACCTTTTCTATTGTATCTGAATCTTCAGCTTCCAGGGTGATGGTTTTACCTGTCAATGTTTTAACGAAGATCTGCATTCCACCTCGAAGACGCAATACTAGATGAAGGGTCGATTCTTTTTGGATGTTATAGTCTGAGAGAGTTCTCCCATCTTCTAATTGTTTACCAGCAAAGATTAAACGCTGCTGGTCTGGAGGAATTCCTTCCTTGTCTTGGATCTTGGCTTTTACGTTTTCTATTGTGTCCGAAGCTTCAACCTCCAGCGTGATGGTTTTACCTGTTAATGTTTTAACGAAGATCTGCATTCCACCTCGAAGACGCAATACTAGATGAAGGGTCGATTCTTTTTGGATGTTATAGTCTGAGAGAGTTCTCCCATCTTCTAATTGTTTACCAGCAAAGATTAAACGCTGCTGGTCTGGAGGAATTCCTTCCTTGTCTTGGATCTTGGCTTTTACGTTTTCTATTGTGTCCGAAGCTTCAACCTCCAGGGTAATGGTTTTACCTGTTAATGTTTTAACGAAGATCTGCATTCCACCTCGAAGACGCAATACTAGATGAAGAGTTGATTCTTTTTGGATGTTATAGTCTGAGAGAGTTCTCCCATCTTCTAATTGTTTGCCAGCAAAGATTAAACGCTGCTGGTCGGGAGGAATTCCTTCCTTGTCTTGGATCTTGGCCTTTACATTTTCTATCGTGTCTGAAGCTTCAACCTCCAGCGTGATGGTTTTACCTGTTAATGTTTTAACGAAGATCTGCATTCCACCTCGAAGACGCAATACTAGATGAAGGGTCGATTCTTTTTGGATGTTATAGTCTGAGAGAGTTCTGCCATCTTCTAATTGTTTGCCAGCAAAGATTAAACGCTGCTGGTCTGGAGGAATTCCTTCTTTGTCTTGGATCTTGGCCTTTACGTTTTCTATTGTGTCCGAAGCTTCAACTTCCAGGGTGATGGTTTTACCTGTCAATGTTTTAACGAAGATCTGCATTCCACCTCGAAGACGCAATACTAGATGAAGGGTCGATTCTTTTTGGATGTTATAGTCTGAGAGAGTTCTCCCATCTTCTAATTGTTTACCAGCAAAGATTAAACGCTGCTGGTCTGGAGGAATTCCTTCCTTGTCTTGGATCTTGGCTTTTACGTTTTCTATTGTGTCCGAAGCTTCAACCTCCAGCGTGATGGTTTTACCTGTTAATGTTTTAACGAAGATCTGCATTCCACCTCGAAGACGCAATACTAGATGAAGGGTCGATTCTTTTTGGATGTTATAGTCTGAGAGAGTTCTCCCATCTTCTAATTGTTTGCCAGCAAAGATTAAACGCTGCTGGTCGGGAGGAATTCCTTCCTTGTCTTGGATCTTGGCCTTTACATTTTCTATCGTGTCTGAAGCTTCAACCTCCAGCGTGATGGTTTTACCTGTTAATGTTTTAACGAAGATCTGCATTCCACCTCGAAGACGCAATACTAGATGAAGGGTCGATTCTTTTTGGATGTTATAGTCTGAGAGAGTTCTCCCATCTTCTAATTGTTTGCCAGCAAAGATTAAACGCTGCTGGTCGGGAGGAATTCCTTCCTTGTCTTGGATCTTGGCCTTTACATTTTCTATCGTGTCTGAAGCTTCAACCTCCAGCGTGATGGTTTTACCTGTTAATGTTTTAACGAAGATCTGCATTCCACCTCGAAGACGCAATACTAGATGAAGGGTCGATTCTTTTTGGATGTTGTAATCTGAGAGAGTTCTCCCATCTTCTAATTGTTTGCCAGCAAAGATTAAGCGCTGCTGGTCGGGAGGAATTCCTTCCTTGTCTTGGATCTTGGCCTTTACATTTTCTATCGTGTCTGAAGCTTCAACCTCCAGCGTGATGGTTTTACCTGTTAATGTTTTAACGAAGATCTGCATTCCACCTCGAAGACGCAATACTAGATGAAGGGTCGATTCTTTTTGGATGTTATAGTCTGAGAGAGTTCTGCCATCTTCTAATTGTTTGCCAGCAAAGATTAAACGCTGCTGGTCTGGAGGAATTCCTTCTTTGTCTTGGATCTTGGCCTTTACATTTTCTATTGTGTCCGAAGCTTCAACTTCCAGGGTGATGGTTTTACCTGTCAATGTTTTAACGAAGATCTGCATTCCACCTCGAAGACGCAATACTAGATGAAGGGTCGATTCTTTTTGGATGTTATAGTCTGAGAGAGTTCTCCCATCTTCTAATTGTTTACCAGCAAAGATTAAACGCTGCTGGTCAGGAGGAATTCCTTCTTTGTCTTGGATTTTGGCCTTTACATTTTCTATCGTGTCTGAAGCTTCAACCTCCAGGGTAATGGTTTTACCTGTTAATGTTTTAACGAAGATCTGCATTCCACCTCGAAGACGCAATACTAGATGAAGGGTCGATTCTTTTTGGATGTTATAGTCTGAGAGAGTTCTCCCATCTTCTAATTGTTTGCCAGCAAAGATTAAACGCTGCTGGTCGGGAGGAATTCCTTCCTTGTCTTGGATCTTGGCCTTTACATTTTCTATCGTGTCTGAAGCTTCAACCTCCAGCGTGATGGTTTTACCTGTTAATGTTTTAACGAAGATCTGCATTCCACCTCGAAGACGCAATACAAGATGAAGGGTCGATTCTTTTTGGATGTTGTAATCTGAGAGAGTTCTCCCATCTTCTAATTGTTTGCCAGCAAAGATTAAGCGCTGCTGGTCTGGAGGAATTCCTTCCTTGTCTTGAATCTTGGCCTTTACATTTTCTATTGTGTCTGAAGATTCAACATCGAGGGTGATGGTTTTTCCAGTTAATGTTTTTACAAAGATCTGCATAGTTGGAGATCTGAAATACTAAAAAAACGAGAGAAATTGTATTTAAGTATATTATTTTAACTCCTTATCATGAAGTTATAGGAATCATTCTATATGAGATCAATCGCCTTTAGCAATCCATGTCGCGAGTCTTATTGAAAATTAAATATAGTATAATGTACGTACAATTGTTGATCTGGGACATATTGACATTTGTCTGCTTTAAAATTTGTTTAAGAAATACAAGGTGTTAGATTTTGTAACCTTTGCCAGTGTAAGGTGATATTCTAATATGTCACCGCAAGCATTTTTTATGTCGGTACGAATTTCGGGAATAGGTACATCCCTGATGTGGTTCGCATTTACGCGCTAGCTTGGAAGGAGTTTTATACTTCGGCCAATGAAACGAGTTACAGTTGTTTAAGTGGCAATGAACAGATAGTCCACTTGAACAGTGTTGCAGTTAGATATTAGTGGATGCCATTCAGGGACGAATTCGAAGCGAATTTTTGCCACGGGCCCGTCATTTAAACAATTTCGATGATACTTCATGTACAGATTGATTAAAAATTTCAAATATTGTTATAAATGTATTATTAATAAATTCAATATAAATTGAAATAAAATCGAATTTACAATTTCTTTTATATTTATATACAGGGTGCAGTCGAATAACATGTACTAGCGAGCACAAGGTGGTTCCTTATGAAAAAATAAGAACAGAATATGGAATAAAATTTGTTTATTTAAAGCTTGGTTTTCGAGAAAATCGAGTTTGAAAATCCTATTCGTACGTATGCTGTTACGGCTAAGTTACGGTTCGTCGAGCATCGTATTACGCGTATCTTGTTCATAAGCAATGATCTGAGTCTTCTTCTGATAGCTATTTGCTTAAGCAGTCCAGTTTTCGTTGATCTATCTAACAATGACGTACACGATATGCATCATACGATGCGTCATATGTAATAATACAGATGTGCAAAACATAAAATAAACGAAGTGCTATCGCGCCGCTTGGGATTTGTCGACATAAAATAAAAGAAGCGCTATCGCGCTGCTTGGGTCTTCTCGTACATATTTAGAGAAAGCGCAGTTGCGCTGTTCGGGATTCTTCGACAGTGTTTTTTCAATATCCCCTGGGACTCAAACGGTTAAGAATCTGCTAGAAATTCGTCCCTGAACGGCATCAGTAAACAAATATGTATATTAGGCCTCTAATTTCAGTTTTGAGCAAGCGCAAAAAAATTCCCCTCTCTACGCCTACTATGCAGAGCAGGGACAAGGCTCGCTCGCTGGGCGCCTTTACTAATGTAAAATCTGACGGTGGGGATTTGGTTAGCCAGTAGGGGCAGTGTGGCCAGATCTGGCATAATTGAGTGCATCGAAATCGACAACAGTGACGACGAACTTCCTTAGCGTCTAACGGAATGGTGGGGATAGCAGGCATACACTACCGCACGAGCCACGTGTACGTGAGCTCGGCACTTCGCACAACTTCGGCAAATCGATAAAGAACGCTAGTGTGAGCCTTTCCTTCTTGCTCTTGTAAAAGAGAAACAGCTGAAATACGACCTCGCGATAATCGGCATACGATTCCAAGCCTCGACTGTCCCAGCATTTTTACTTTCCGACCTATGTAAGGTATAAGGAAATTTATAAAGTATCATAATGGAAAAAAAATTTCGAAATTTTTTTTGAGCGGAAATACACGTTTTAGGACCCCCTCATCATATTGTGACTACTACAAAAAAACATATTTTTTTTTTTGTTCCTATGCTATTGACATGATTGCGTCTAAACGGCTGAATGAATTTCAATGAAACTTAACATTTAAGTTTTATGTTCTCGTTTTAAGGTCTCATTATATTTTAAGCGTGATCAGTTCCCATATAATGATGATTATACGTCTGTAGTTTTATAATTATTTCGATACATATACATCATTTGTAACAAATTTTTAAAGCGATTTATATAAATCTTAAGAAGGATTAAGATCAAATATACTTTTCTCCTATCTTTCCTAGACAGGAAAAATTAAACGAAATCTTATGCCTTGCATACCTACCTAAACCACATAAAAAACGTATTCCACAAATATTTTAGAATAATGTTGTTCATAGCAGTCTTACTCGTAAAGGGTTAATTAAGGGTTAATTAAAATGAAAAAACAACTCTTAGCCAGTACCGTGCACGCTACAGAAATAGATTACTACTGACTTTTCCCACTATGTTTTTTAATAACCGTATCAAATTGTTACACACAATCAAATGTTATATATTTGACTTAACTTTACATAACAAAATAATTGTAACGATAGGTAAAAGAATAACGTGCACGCTACCGTTCAATGGAAACCACGGGAAGGTGGTGGTCACTTCCATCAGGAGGGAAATGTAAAAAATTGTTATTTCTTTGTAACATTATCACATGCCATATATTAAAATGTTTTTATTAATGTAATGAAATTACAATATAATGAAAAACTAACTCGTGAATGCATTAATTTTTATTAATATACACACGAGCCATAAAAATGGAACAATGATATAATTGTTTACATTTCCAAAGGATGGGATGTTGGGATAGGACAAAATCCAGAGGCCAAAGCATATCTTTATTTTCTAAATTACGCTCTTGAGTTTTTTTATAAATTTAGCATTTTCTTTCAAACTCAAGAGACAAGAATTCATTTGCTTCAAAAGACTGCGGCAGAACTTTTATGCGATATATTACGCAATTTTCTGAAACCGCAGCTTTTGAAACACATGGATTTAGTAAGAATGATGAATTTTTCTGTAGTCGAAAATCAACTTCCATTTAATAGTATAAATTTAGGAACAGAGTGTCTTAATTTTCTGCATCAACTGAATGCAGAAGGCAAGTCCGACATCGTAGAAACCGTAAGGAAAAATTGTTTAATGTTTTATATTACAGCTGCAAACGAAATTCGTCATCGATTGGCGATCGATGACGAATTTCTTAGCATGTTGTATGTTTTTGAACCAACTTTTATATTAAATGATACAAATAGAGACATTTCCTTCAGAAATGTTCTCTTAATCGCTAAGAAATTCGGCGGTTTCGACGAAGAAGGACTGCAAACAGAATGGTCAGTATTGCCTTTGGAATTTACAACGAAAGGTAGACAGACGCTTATCGAGATGAAATTCGATGGTTTCTGGAAAACAATTTTATTAACGCGAAATTTGGACTATAAAATTAAATTTCCTGAATTGATGAAATTAGTAAATACAATTAGATCACTTCCAAATTCCAATGCCGATGCAGAAAGATTGTTTTCCATGTTACCTGACATAAAAACAAAGAAACGGAATAAACTTTCTTCGGCCAGCGTCAACTCTATTTGCGTTGTGAAATCTTCGTTAAAGGCGCAGAGGGAAAACTCTCAACCCATGGAGGTAGATGACGATCATCTAGCTCTATTGTATTCCAAAAATTTATATCATAGATTTGCTAAGAAGCAAAAGTGTAATTTAAGATTAAACGCAACATATGACAATAACTTTGAGAATTTTCCCGCTACGTCATATGACGAAAATTAAGGTACCGATTTACTACAGAGCTTTTCTCTAGAGAGATTTTTCTCTCCAGAGAAAAGCTCTTTAGTAAATTCGTACAATTAGGCTGCAATGACAGTATAAACGTTTTCATGCGACGTCGCGGTAGACTGATCTTGTTACGTCAACGGTACCGCGACGTAGGCGGAACAAGGTGTGATGCATGTATGTATGTGCCATAACGTCACGCGAAAGCGCTTACACTGCAACCGCAGTCTTGTTAGTGATATCCAAAATATTTTTTTTTGGACTTCGCTAATATGTAAATAGTCGTTCAATTTGTCTCGCATTGTTACTTTTTTTACGTATTTCGCTTGCTGTAAATACTATTCTGCTTGCTCTAACTATCATTTTTTTTCTTCATTTATTTGCTTATATTTGGCCGTATATTTTTAGTTAGTGAAATTGCTTGCTGTAGATAGTGTGGCTATGACGTAGAATGTCGCGCCTTGTTACACTTACGTCACGGTACCGTAAGAGCAACAATGCACGATATAACGTGCCAGCTTAATCGCAAACGTCCTATTCCAACATCCCATCCTTTGGAAATGTAAACAATTATATCATTTTTCCATTTTTATGGCTCGTGTGTATATTAATAAAAATTAATGCATTCACGAGTTAGTTTTTCATTATATTGTAATTTCATTACATTAATAAAAACATTTTAATATACGGCATGTGATAATGTTACAAAGAAATAACAATTTTTTACATTTCCCTCCTGATGGAAGTGACCACCACCTTCCCGTGGTTTCCATTGAACGGTAGCGTGCACGTTATTCTTTTACCTATCGTTACAATTATTTTGTTATGTAAAGTTAAGTCAAATATATAACATTTGATTGTGTGTAACAATTTGATACGGTTATTAAAAAACATAGTGGGAAAAGTCAGTAGTAATCTATTTCTGTAGCGTGCACGGTACTGGCTAAGAGTTGTTTTTTCATTTTAATTAACCCTTAATTAACCCTTTACGAGTAAGACTGCTTTGAACAACATTATTCTAAAATATTTGTGGAATATGTTTTTTATGTGGTTTAGGTAGGTATGCAAGGCATAAGACTTCGTTTAATTTTTCCTGTCTAGGAAAGATAGGAAAAAAGTATATTTGATCTTAATCCTTCTTAAGATTTATATAAATCGCTTTAAAAATTTGTCACAAATGATGTATATGTATCGAAATAATTATAAAACTACAGACGTATAATCATCATTATATGGGAACTGATCACGCTTAAAATATAATGAGACCTTAAAACGAGAACATAAAACTTAAATGTTAAGTTTCATTGAAATTCATTCAGCCGTTTAGACGCAATCATGTCAATAGCATAGGAACAAAACAAAAATATGTTTTTTTGTAGTAGTCACAATATGATGAGGGGGTCCTAAAACGTGTATTTCCGCTCAAAAAAAATTTCGAAATATTTTTTTCCATTATGATAGTTTATAAATTTCCTTATACCTTACATAGGTCGGAAAGTAAAAATGCTGGAACAGTCGAGGCTTGGAATTGTATGCCACTTATCGCGAGGTCGTATTTCAGTTGTTTTGTCTTTTACAAGAGCAAGAAGGAAAGGCTCACACTGACGTTCTTTATCGATTTCCCGAAGTTGTGCGCAAGCGCCGAGCTCACGTACACGTGGCTCGTGCGGTAGTATATGCCTGCTATCCCCACCACTCCATTAGACGCTAAGGAAGTTCGTCGTCACTGTTGTCGATTTCGATGCACTCAATTATGCCAGATCTGGCCACATTGAGTAAGGGGACTGCTGTGGCTCTCAGCGGAAAAGAAGGTACTTGGCCACATCTGATCATCCGAGTCTGATGTAGGTCAATGGTTTTTAAGCTTTTTTTTTCTACGAATTCTTTATATTCGAGTGTTTAAAAAAAGATTTCTCTTCTGAAGCGTCATTGTCGAAAGTAATGAGCGCAAAATCTTATATACATTAAATACGAACATGGATACGATATTTAGTAATTCAATTTCTGTATTAATATCTCATGTATATAATCGACATAACTAATATCTCCTGTATATAATTGATATAGGAGCATTGATTTTGTCGAGTCCTTTACTTCTCAAAATGGAGGATGGAGAGCATCAAAGAATATCATTGATTATATTTAACGAATATGAATTCCTTATAATTACATAATACTTAATCAAGATATACTTACCTAAACGAGTTGAAATAATTTACAAGAATATATTTGCAACGCAGATTTAATCAATTCGTAGTAAAAAGCAATCACACAAAAGCGTACCAAACGATACAGACCAAACTACACAAAGTGACGCAAAGTGACGTCAACACCTGCTTATATAGCCGTCTAACTTTATTACCAATCCCTGAACATTAAATTCCCTTCACCGGAAAACCATAGGAAATATTAATTTGTTGTGTGTGTTGCGCGTCCGGCGGCGTATTTCCGAAACTTCGTAGGGAATTCGGTGGGGAACGCTGCCCGTGGAGTGCTAAGGCACTCTGCTCCTTGGACGCGGGAGTTTCAAGCGGAGATCGCTAGATAAGGAAAATAATAAATGGATACAACGATTTGATCACACGTAAATAGAACTTTAATTAACTCAATAAAGGAATATAAAACAAAACAACCAAGATTTCGCAGGAATTATTATAACCCGTTCGTACACTTCCGCTCTCTTAATTCAAAATGCTTCTCTCTTTAATCAACTCAATTAACTAACTCAAATGATACAAGTACGATCTCGCTTAAGTTACAATGCTACGTCCGTTCACTTTCGATCTCCGGATTCAAGTGTCGCTCTGCCGGCCGGTCAAGGCCCAGCCCACACGTAGGCCCCTCCCGATCGTCTTTTCTTTTATTCGGGCCGGGCGCAAAACTCTCGCACGCGCGTTCCTCGGCACACCCCCCAACCCTCGAGAACGGTCCTCTGCGGCACGTGGCCGTTATCGGCTTTTGCACGCAGCCCGTTTCCGGCAATCAATAGCGCACGGCCCAAGTCCTGGAATTACACCCCTAGGAGAAGGGATCAAAGGGGAGTTCACGACTATCCAAACATCCGTCTCCAATAAATTATTGGCTAATCTATGACCCGAAGTGAAGTCATTAAAAGAATCTCTAACTACTTTTAAACCGTAGAATTGGCGCGGACTCCACTGTGTCTCCCTTTCCTATTACATTCGTGTAATCTGATTTAAACCTCGCGCCCCCCAGAGCTTCTGCTACACGGCGCCAGGCGGCGACCGCAACAGTGTTATAATAGGGAAATTCTGAATCGAAATGGGATTGGCGCCCGTGGATAACTGAAGCAACTGTTGTAAGTGCGCAGATATTTTAAAATAAACGATATATGTAAAATTCATTTTGTAACGACCGTTCGTCAGGTAAATTTGTTTTCATTGTATTTTGAAAAAACATTCATTTTTGCCCTCTAGGGAAAAATCACCAATTCCGTCATCGACCAAATCCCCTACATGAAAAAGAAGGGTTAACAGTTCGCCATCGAATATATAAAACATTGATTGACGTTATTTCAGTGAAATTAACCTTACAATTCGTGACAGGCAATTTTCACTGTGTTGTATATTAGTGTGATAGTTTCAGCTAAAATATTAAGGGAAAACTTTTACCAAAATGGAATGTTTAATCGGAATACAATTTAAAGATTTTGTATTAATCGCAGCTGATATGACCGCAGCTCGTTCAATAGTGGTTATGAAAAACGGTACGAAATTAATTCCTTGATTACAACCACCAAACGGCTTAAAACACATTACTTCTATAATTCTTATTATTGTTATGTAGAAATAATCGTTCTATAAAAGTGTTACGGATGTTTGTAATTTCGAACAGATATAACAGTACTCGATAAGAAATAATCTTATAATATTAGTAGAACAAATGCAAGTCATTTATGTTTCAATGATTTTGTGATTCTAGATGAAGAAAAAATTCACAAAATCTCTGATAAACTTGTGATGGCTGTGTCTGGAGAATCTGGCGACACGACACAATTCTCAGAATACATAGGAAAAAATATACAACTTTATAAAATTTGGAATGGTTATGAATTGTCGCCAAAAGCTGCCGCTTGTTTTACCAGAAGAAAACTGGCAGACTACCTTAGAAGCAGAACACCATACAATGTTAATCTATTAATGGCAGGTTATGACAATGACGCGGGTCCAGAATTATATTTCATTGATTATTTAGCATCCTGTGTTAAAGTACCCTATGCAGCTCATGGTTACGGAGGAATCTTTACTATTTCTATTTTGGATAGATATCACAAATACGGTGATAAAAATTGGAAATATATAGTTTCTACATGTTTTATAAACAAAACAAATATTATTTCTCCCAAGAAATTATATCTACCATAAATTGTTACAGATTCAACAGAGGAAGAAGCATATTTACTAATGAAAATGTGCATCCGAGAAATTCATAAACGATTGATTATCAATCTTCCAAACTTTAAGGTGCAAAAGGTATCCAAGGATGGCATAAAAGAACTGGAACGTATTACAGTAAAGAACTTGTCTTTAGAAGAAACTACTGCATGAAACATTTGCTTTTATTAATGTTATTTATAATAATACTGTCTCCTTTTTAAAGAATAAAAATGGTCAAAATAACAAGTATATACTCGATATTCTGTATCATCCAGTAATCTATTTCTGCTAATCTCGATAAACCAAATAATTATCAAAGCCAGGGATATATCAATTAAAAAAATGTAGTTTTATTACACTTTTGAAAGGATTTTTTTCCGAATGGTTTCAACTATACATATTTTACAAAATTAATTTTTTGTAAAATTTCGTCAATTAAAACGTGATAATATATCTATAGAAAAATAGTACATGTTTAACTCAAATACATATTCCTTGAATAAATTATCGATAATGAATAGAAAAGTATTTTTATAGTTTCATAATCGAATGGAACCTGACTTTAATGCGTCAGGTTTGTCGCTAGTTTCCTAGATTGTGCACATGAAGAATCATACCTTAATTCGTAGTTATAGTCTATAAGAATTATGTATAGTTTGAAAAATATAAGTAACATTATACATAATTCCATACTAGCTGCTATGTATCTATTGTAGTAAATGTTTAATTAATGTTCAAATTGATCGCACGCAAAGTGCTGTGAATCACATTAATATTGTAGGAATCTAGGAAACTGAAAATACGGGGATTCGAATACGCGCTCTTCGAACTACTAATCAGCCATTTTATCGATTAGAGTCGGGAAAATTTTAGTCGTGAATAACGAATGAAAATTTTAGATTCACTCATTAAAGCGGTATTCCCATCTGGAATTAAATTTTGTGAATAAAATTGACCCAACTTTGCTAACAATCTCAACATCGTGACACCACCGTTATTCGAATGTTAACGATTCCTTTTCTTCTGTGGGTATTGGGACCTCCGATCCCACAATATACATATTCTATTTTTCATAAACGTGTAGAATTTCAACTTAAAAAATATTTGCACTAAACGTATGTTACTACTGTTCAAATACATTTATACTAACAGTACTTTATTACATTGGACGATTAAATTTTAATGTATATCATCAAACTGCATGTAAATGTTTTCAATGCATTTAAACGTACGTTATAGTATTCCCAAGGAAAATATTCCAAGAATTTCTAACGACTCATAAGGTAATTTTAATACTTGCACTATTCACTGTAAAGTGAAAATTATTATGCGCACGACTTAACGATTGCCGATTCTACATTAAAATTTCACATGTAATGAATTTTTGTTTCGTTAAGCAATAACTTATATTTCCTGTTACCAATTTAGTTGTGCATATAAGAGCGTGACTTATAATTTTGAATAATTCATTCATACGTTGCTTACGTTAATTTCTCGATAATATTTATGGTAAATAAAATAAGAACAAAATTAAGTATATCAAATGGTAAACTTGATCGTGTTTGAAAGTATCGATGTATGTCTTTTAAGATAAATCAAATGTCATATTACATCTTAAAATGTGTATACAAAGCATACTCACATATGCCTTTGACACTTTACATTTCATGATTGTACAGCTTGAGCATAAGACGTAAATTATAAACAGTTCGGGTGTAAACCGTGGCTTTGTAGTAAATTATTCTGACGTTTCGCCAACGTTGCAGTTAGTTTCATTTTTAATTATGGTGAATGTGTAATTTTGGTTAATGTTGTGTAAACTATTTTAATATTTTGTTTTCTGGAGATTCTACTAACACGATCGGTGGTACTTTTTATTAGGTTGTGTAATAAATCCTAGCTGGAATATTGACGAAATGTTAGAACAATTTCCTTCAAAGACATGACTCACACGCGGAAGCCTAAAATGTCAGAACTCGGGCCGCGAAGACCTCACAATATCGAACATAAATTATTCCTTTTTCCTTTATGTACGATGAATTTAAAACAGTAACAGCACAATAGCAATGCTGAGAATGCTGTCACACTGATCACCTTAAATACGAATATTATAATTCTTTCTTTACTTCTGTTTGCGTTTGTGCAGGTTTTTCCGTTTCTTTTGGCTTAGTTGGATGATCCTCATAACTGTAAAATAATTAATAAATTACCGTATATTTTATATCGCAAGGTTCGTTAATCATTATCTTACAATTAATACATCAGAAATTTAATTGAATGGCTTTGAGGAACATTTTTAGCGTAGTCATGAATATCTCCAAATATAATAAATTTGAAATGTAAATAAAATGCTGAGAAATACGTACGAAAATAATGCCTTCAGGTCTCCTTTCACTACTGCCAAAAGTAGAGGAGTGCCCAGACATGCAGGCACCAAGTATACCAGAGCTGGTTGTGCGTGATTGAACAAATGCATAATCAGCATTGTTACTAACAGTCCCATGAAGTAAGCAAAAAATGTTGAATAGAAATATACGTGTGATTTCCTATTTAAACTATTATCAAATCGCAATAAAAGCGCGATGAAAATACCGGGCAGAACAATGTCCCCCAGGCCCAGCATGGCAAAGTTACTGGCAGTGAGACCTTTCTCCAACAAATCTTGAGGAAACACTAGTTTAATTGGTACTTCAAATGATTTTGCAACCGTTACCATCACATTTGTAACGAATACCCAGAATGCATCATAGAGAAGAAGTCCACAAAGCAAGATGCATCCTGTTATGACATTGTTCAACTGTAATAATTCAACGCCATTGATCGCAAACGCGATGCCAAATAGATTATTGGCAATCCAATGCTGCGAATTAGAATAACAACACTGTAACTTATTCCTTATCTTTAGAGAAACTTTAATTCGACAGAATTTCATTTGACGCGCTCACCTTTTTGAAAAGATACCAAGCTCCTACGAAAGAGCAACATATCAAGCAAACGATATCATGAAGATTGAATTTATAATCTATAATATGATCTGCCTTGTCACCTTCGCCCGTGGTAAAAAGTATATGATATTGTGTTTTTGGAATTGCAGCAGGCACCAATGATGAAATCAATGGACTGCAATTATTCAATCTTTACAATAGTATTCAAATCACGGGACCGTATAATCTGTATATTTACTAGGAAGGTCTTTATTTTTTTGTCATCTATTTAAGATGAGTCTAATTAATAAAACATTAATCCTTGAAAAATTTGAACTTTGTTGGATACCAGGAAAACGTGTACCAAACCTAACAGTCAAGAACAGTTATAATATTGATTTCGATCCTTTATAACTGTTTCAAGTTCAGAATAGTCTTATAATTTATAAAATGGCGGAACTGTTTAGTTTACCGTAGATAGAAGTTTATTATTGCATACCCCATTTTCTACAGGCCCACTACTACTATAGAGAGATGACTTGCTGGCTAGGTATGCTGATTGGCCGTAGCGTAATAGTGACGCCTGCTCTCATACGCATTGTCATTATCGGTTGAGTCGCTCACAGCCACAATTCCATCGCGTGACAAAGAAGACGAACGAAACGTATAGCGACATAGTAGGATAAGACCAAGGGACATTGGCGTAACCGTACCCTCAGAATACTAACCATGAATAGAACAAAAATGTATCTCTCGTGGTTATGGAAACCCTACTATTATGTAGCGTGACGTCAGAGCGGGCCTCTTTAGTGGGAATAAGGCGCTGCGAAGACCTTCTCTTCTTGCCCTTGCCCCGTTTAGATTGTAGGTGCCTAGCCAACAAGTTATCTCTCTACGATACCTCGTATCATGTAAAGTAGTGGAGGAAGCAATGAGTGTCCATGCTGCCTTCCTCCACTCCTAAAAAATGGGATTAACTAAAACTTGAAAAACTTTGATACACATTTTCCCCAACATCTAATCGTGTTGAAATTTGACAAGGATAACCATTTTATGGATTAGAACTACTTGATCATTTATAATCACGGACCAACTTAATATTTACATAATTTAAAAACTACTCATACCTGGTAAGATGACATAAAGCTAAGATACCTAAGAAGAAAAAGTAGCCGACGAAAAGCAAATTGACGTAATCTGTTGGGAATATCTGAAAATTGTTTACAATGATAATGTTAACTCTAATAAAGAAATTGTAGACATTGAAATGCCTATAGAATATTTATGAATAAACTCATCTTACCTTATATAATAAGTAAAGACTGATTAATGTAAAACTAGAAATAATAGGAAATATTACTGCTTCTCTGCGAGACATTGTATCTGGTTGTCCTCCGCTTCGTTCGTATTGTTCCTGTAACGATAAAACCATATACTATAGAATGTTGATCATCCAAAGACCAATTGAATAGTTCCCTGAAAAAAGGATACTTTACACTTTAGAAGATAATGGAAAAACGATTAATCGTTTGTTGTACACTGCAATAGATGAAGAAGTAGCTACAATAACCACTAAGAAGAATGTGATTTATTAAATCGAACAAGTAAGATATCTGAGACAAGTCTTTATCAAATCAGTTTTATGGCAAATTTCTGTAAGATTTTCTTTACTTATTGTGTGTTTGTAAGCATACAAACTGATTTTCTTAAACAGATTATCGGAAAAGTTGATTTTTCTATCAGTGTTTGATCGCAATGTTAGAAAAATTTTTTCAAATATACACAAAACATATGTCAAAACGCGTGGCTAACCTTCATTTCCTTATGGTGTTTAACGGCTCGAAAACTGCCGAAGAAAATTGGCAAAATGGCCATAATTATTAGGCTACCGTAAGCAATGGCCATTCCCTCGGGCGTTGAGGGTATTCTTTCCATTGTCGGATTACTATTTTCCTTCACAGTATCGCAAGCCTGGGCAACAACTTCGTTTACTTCGCTTGCCATTTTGAATCCGTCGACACGACGGCACGAACACGACCGCACAATGCATGATCGGAGTAGAAATCTTCGAAAACCTAAATTAAAGATGGATAAATCTAGCTCCAATTTCGTTAACCGTACTTGATATTTCTAAATAACTGCTACTAGACGATATAAAATCGTTGTTAAATGAATTTACGAAAAAGAATACAGCTAATGATGTTTTGTTTGTCGTATTAATTAATTAATTTATTTTTGAATTAGGAAATATTCGATTACGGAATAAATATATCAATCGGAATGTAAAGACAAATCGAATATTTAACTAAATTAATAATATAAATTGTAATATTTCTTAATTTAACGTAATTAACGATAAGTGTTTGTCTTCGAAACCGGCCTTTACATTCAAGATACACGTGGACAAATAAACATTTACGTTGTTTTCTGTCAAGTTACGTTTTGCCGGTCTTGCTGCAACGATGAAAACTCGCTATGAAAATGATAAACGAGAGAGTTTGCAGACGAGTGGTGAACATTAATTGTTGAACTAAAAGCATAAAAATAAAATTTGCGTTCCATGGATAAATATGAAATGAAACAACTCGAAAAGTTAGCGGCGCGTGTCTTGAAAAATAAACCCGGGCATATCATTTTTATGCAAAATGAATCTCGCGACGGATTGCATAGGTTAGAATCATGCAATGTTGTTTTAAAAAAAATTATGTATTTTGCTTGAACAGTAATATACCTGTGAAATAGAAATGGACCATTATAAAAAATGAGTCTTATTGCATACAAATGCTGATTAAAGTAAAAGAGTTCGCAAATCATGATATGCCGAATGATATTTTTAACATTCCAATTTTTATTTTTCTTTAGTAGTTTGTTCTTTTTTCCATAATTTTAAATACCATTTGTATATATTTCATAAATTATGTGTTTTAATTTTTCGATCTCTTTAACAGGTTCCTAAGAATTGGAGAAGTAAATAATCGAAATGTCAAGACTGAGAACAGTATCAGAGAAAATATACAAGTTGTTGTCTGAAAAAGTCAGTATTAAGTTTCCAGAACGTGAACAAAACTTTTACCAAGAGGTACTTATCTGTTTCCCTCTGAAAAAATATATTTATAAACTTTTATGAACAATAGAAAGGCGATAATTATATAAAACCTTCAATTATTTAGATCTTGATAAAAAATCTTAAAAAATCGTTATAAAGTTGGAAAAATGAATTCATATTGTGATACCGCGAACAGAAAATTATATCACAGAGGACAAATTGATGTAATAGATATGCCAACAGAATTAACTTGCAATTACAAGTACTTCTTTGTTTATGAGGATCAAGTTTCCAAATTTGTCGTGTTAAAAGGTTTACATGGGAATACAGCAAGCGAAGTAGCTAGGAAACTTTTAGATACGTTGGCCATTATTGGAGCACCACAGGTTTTGCAAAGTGCTAATGGACGAAAGTTTGCAGAACAAGTTGTGCAGGAATTACGTTCTTTGTGGAAAGATTTTGTTATACTTCATGGAGAAATCTCAGAGAACAAAGAAAATAGCAGAGATTTCAAAAATTTGCTGAAACATTGGGCGCAAAAAAACCCGACAAAAACATGGTACGAGGCTTTGAAGCATGTTCAGATATTTCAAAACTCAACGTTCTGTTGTGAAAATGGAAAGATACCTTATGATATATTGTTCGGACGAAATGTACACGAAGAATTTCAGAAGCAGGCTAACACGATACCTAAGAGAGAAAACGTATGGACAGAAGAAGAATGGATTAGTCTTGTGTCCAATAAAAACAACGATATCGAAAAAGAAGAAACTGAGAAGTTTGCTGAGAGTTCGAGTTTTATAAAAATCGGAGACATGGATAGTGTAAGTATAACATTCGTAAGACTATAATTTATGTACTTTTTAAATTATTAATCAATATTCTTTAATTAATTAGTCAAGAGACGACGACAGTGACTCTTATAGTATAGTAAAGGATGAGCTTCCAAGAGATACTCCAGGCTTTAATTTTGTTGATGTTAAAAGTGAACCTTTGAACATGCATACGGAAGATTCGGTATTCGAAGACGAATCGATAGTAGATGATAAAACAAAATTAGTTTTCAAAAGTCAAGATTTAAAATGTAGAATCTGCCAAAAGCAGTACATGAAGCCTGGTCACTTAAAGAATCACATGAGAGCGCACATCAAAGGAAAAAAATTCGAATGCAAATTATGTAAAAAGACGTTTCATGTTCTCAGTTTATACGAGAAGCACATGCAACAGTCTCATAGACAAAATAAGTTATCTAGACTGTGTAACACAAGAAGAAATAAAGATTCACGAGAGAAAACAGTATTGGACACGAAAACGTTTAAGTTGGATTGTTCTTCGAATATAAATTTGAGCGAGACCGAATCTAACGTTATGGACGAAGATCCTAATGTAACAAAGAACTCGAGTCTTTTTAAAGAGAGAAAGAAAATTTCTGCAGAAATTCGTTCGATGAAAGTAAACGGAGATCCGACTTTAGATTGTACATACTGCAAACAGAAATTCAACTTTCCTAGCGTATTAAAAAGGCACATGCGATCTCACACGAACGAAAGGCCTTACATTTGCGAAATTTGTAATAAAAGCTTCAAACAATTAGGACACCTTAGTCAACATTCGTTAACGCACAAGGACTATCGTTCTTTCCATTGTGCGGTTTGCGGTGTTAAATTCGAATCGTTAGGCTCGTTAAAAGTCCACACTCAATCGCATAAGGAGGATTACATTTCAAAAACGAAAGAGGCTTTCCGTTTGTTCGAATGTGAGAATTGTAAAAAGGTGTTTACCACTAAAAGTGTCCTGGAACGACATATACTTACACACTCCCATGAACGTCAATTCGCTTGTATAATTTGCGGGAAAAGGTTTAAACAAACGGGACACTTGAAGTCTCATATGTTGGTTCACACGGGCGAACGGAAATTTGAGTGCACGGTCTGCAAAAAGAGATTCAGCCTCTCGAACTCTCTTAAGAAGCATATGTACGTGCACAACGGGGAGAAACCGTATCAGTGCGACGTATGCGGCGCGCGATTTCTTGAAAAAAGAAATTTAAACGGGCATCTGATGACCCACACGAACGAGCGTCCGTTTCGTTGTAAAATTTGTGGGAAACGGTACACTTTGGCGGACACTTTACGACGTCACATCAGCGCCGCACATGAGGAAGGTCGTACGTATCAGTGCGAGATTTGTGCGAAAATGTTCAAACAGTTGGCCCATCTCTCTGTTCACAAAAAAGTACACAATGACGAACGACCATTCCAGTGTCATTTGTGCGAGAAAAATTTTAAGCATAAAAACGTTCTCAAGTCCCATTTAGCCATTCACGCTAATGTAAGGCCATTCGAATGCGACGTGTGCAAGGCTACTTTTGTAAGGAAGACGAATCTGCAGACGCATATCGCGTCGGCTCACATGAACGAACGACCGTACGTTTGTACGATTTGTGGGAAACGGTTCAAACAAATTAGTCACTTGAACGGCCACGTTGTAGTGCACAGCAATTTAATGCCTTATCAATGCGATTTTTGTGATCGACGGTGCAACAGACTCGACAATTTGAAAAAACATATGCGTCTTCATACGAAGAACAAAGAGGAAGTAGCTTAAAGATTTACGTTTTCCATGATCGTCTTGTAAGAAACAGATTCATGCAAATTGTTCGAATATGAAATTAGGACATATTCGAGCCCATGTGTATTAGCAGTAATGATATGTCAGTTTTAGAAATTGTACTATCAGTCTATAATGATTGTAATTTTCATTGACCTCTAATGAATTTTACCTGATTTCTAATTCCATATTTGCATGCAATCATTGTATACTTATAGATTTCAAATATTTTTATATCTCAAATAGAAACTCATGCTGTGTGAAAGCTTTATTCTTTTGAAAGAAAGAATTAAAAGTAGCAAATGATTCTAATTTAAACATATTAGAATTAGAATCAGTGATCAAAGTTTCAAAAGAATATGGCTAAAAAGTTTAACATGTTTTCCTTGTATTTTTACTAACTCGTACTATAAGTTTCTTGTCGTTTCTAAGTTTTACCATAATCTAAAAATATTAGAAAACCAAGTATAATTGAATTGTACAAACATAAAAGATAAATTTCTAATTTGAGATCAAGTTTTTAAGACTTATACATATACATATTCGGAAAAGTTATATGTCCACTAAATTAATTTTAATTTATGCTAAACGATTCGTCATTGTGTTGCTTTTTAAATAAATATTATCAAATAAAACTAGTATGTATTTTCATATTTTGAGATACATCCTTGTTGTCCTAAAAAAAGTTGATATTAATTGAAATAACAAATTTAATAGTATTAAATTCCATTTAAAAAAGTATGTATGTATAATATATAATATTGTTGGACAAAACGTTATTTGACTAATGATTAACGACTATGATTACTGTGTAATTAAACCAGTGAATAATCATCAGATACGATTTACTCATTATCACTGATTATATTTTTCATTATGACTAAATCAATAAGCTAATAATCAGATATTACTAATAATACTCAACATTTTTTTATGAAGTATACATTTGTGAGTAGAAAATGAATTAATTATGAAATTACTTGGTTAAGCGGCAGATTTAAACTGCATGATTGCGCTCAACACTCCTTCCCAATCAAGTAAGTACCTAGGTACATATGTCGTTGTTACAATTTTGGATAGTACTGTGTTTGAGTCCTAATCTAGATCTAAGAGTTTCAAAATCATGGCTTTGACAAATCCTTTGTAAATATGTCAGCTAACTGATCTTTGGTAGAAATGTATTCAATATACAAATTCTTGTTTTCTACTAAATCTCTAATAAAATGATATTTTATGTCAACATGTTTCAGTCTTTTCAATTCAACCTTTATGTTAATCTAATGCATGACATATTGCCTTCTGATTGCATCGGATCTTATTTATATTCAGTTTACCGCAAAGAGACTCGATTACGAATCGAAGTGTTCATGAATGTTAAGAGTTTATTTTACATCGAAAGAATTGATTTTAGGATTTACGTTCAGGGGTGTAGGTATGGCGAGGGAAATGGAGCCCCCTCCTAGCTACTTACAAATAAATAAATTTCAAATTCAATTTTCTTTGGAAATAAATGGTCGAAAAGTGTAATACAACTATAGCATAAAAAAAGAATGAGAATCACGAGCATTCAATACTATGTCGATTATTGTTTAAATATTGTATAGTATATTTAAAAATAAGTAATTATTAATTGAGTTTTAGTCTAATATTTTTGCCCCTTTCTAAACAGAATCCTGATTACACCCTTGCCTAATGTTCATTAGACTCTTTTTGTTCCTCTTCATGCGTACTATATGTTCTTAAAGTTACGAACCCTTTCTTTTTACTACCCTATGTATTTATTAATTTTTTACCATTCTTATCGACATATGTAAACATAATTTATAGAATACTGGGTCAAATAACACTAATACAGTACGGCTGTGAGAAGCAAGGTTTCTGTTTATGTTTAACAGATAAGAAAATAGGGACAAATGCTATTACATTGATTAGATTTTTAGTGCAGCATTGGGATTCATTATTCTTATTGGTGTTCGATATGGGGTACAATAGAAGATTGAAAGTCGGTACAGCTGTTACCGTGTTAACAGTTTTAATCGCGATTTATTATAGAAACTCAGAGAACGTTCTTCAGAAACGATTACAAACGTTAATTCACGGATTAGAAAGATTGGAAAATAAGCACGTGATCACATCAAGACCAAAAGTTGCGATAGGTTATGGTATATGCACTGACGTATACGTGAACGCTAAACAATTGTTAGAATATTCTGAAGAAGTTGGTCAACCGGAACATTTTGACGAAATTAATACAGAACTTGAATTGTTAAAAAGTTTCGCCTATTATTTTCGTCATGGCGCAGCTGCTGAGTAAGATCCTTTGTGACCTGTATTTTGTGTTTTAAAGAAATACAAGGTAATTACAACAAACTTTTTATAGGAGATATATGGCAAATCGGACATTGTTCGAAAACCTTGTCGCTAGAGCTCGTTCATTCTCATCGTCTTATGCTACTATTGGTGGTAATGCAGCAGTTATGGCACTACGATTTGCAAGGGAAGGATGTGACGTAGTGCTTGGTGCAAAAATGACCAAGTCTTTGCATCAGATGATACCACAGATTATTAATATTGTTGGGGGTGAAGTAAAACGTGATGATGTTCACTTAATTATAGAATACAAAGATGGGGATGTTTGGGGTCCATATTCCAGTTCTAGGGCAAGCAGGTACAATGTTCAAGCAATTTTAGGGAACATTATCTTGGAACATCGAACATATTCCAAATAATATTATCATCAAATAATTTCTTAGATTTATAATTCATAATGATGCCCACAATCCAATGATTGGATCGTTTAATGCATTTGATCAATTTTTATCAACATATGAGCCTAATTTACTTGTTGTCAGTGGTCTACAAATGATGGACAACTATCCATTTCCAGATGGTAATAGCAATCACATTTTCAATTGTACAATCCTGATGATCAGTTTTACAAAAAATTTTTACTTTGACTCAGGTGTACGACAGAAGCTTTTGCTGAAAGTAAAGAAACAAATGATTGAACAATCGCCATCTACTAAAATTCACTTCGAAATGGCTTCGTTCGCGGAAGATAAATTGCTTTTTGAATTGTGTGACTCGATCATACCATTTGCGGATAGCTTAGGCATGAACGAACAAGAAATAGCAAATTTGCATAATGCTATGTATTATGGAAATATTTCATTGGTAGCTAATTCCACGCCGCGAATCGCAACAGTCTTAGATCAAATGCGAACATTATTCAAACTTATACGCGCGAAGAGTAAGTCTGTCGCTAATTCTCGGGAACTTACGAGAATTCACGTACATACGTTAGCGTATCAAGCTATATTTACTATGAAAGGTTCTATGTGGAAAAATACAATGGCTGCAGCAGCCAAGGCATCATTAACAGCTCATAGACACGTATGCGCGACAAGTCAGGTAAGCAAATGTGAACAGAATAAATCTAAACTATGTAATAGTTTAGAGACCGAGTCAGAGTTCAAACTGTAAACACTATAAACCTATATATATATATATATATATATATATATATAAATTTATAAAATATTACAGGTCGATGTTAGAAAAACAGCCTTAATTTTAGATGATAGTTTTTCAACATCTATCGTCGATGGTACTAGAATAGCCCTTGATATCGACAAACCAGTGTCTTGTTGGGATGAAGTGTTAAAGGCAGGTAATGAAGAAATTTCCATTCTAGTATGCGTCACCCCGGTATTAGTTTGTACCGAGGCTGCTCAAACCGCTGGCGGCGGTGATAATATTTCAAGCGCGGGACTCGTATTGCAAATTTGAACGGTACGTTTGTCCAAATACGATTAAACGAGTCTGAATTATTGTTTCTGGATAATGGTCTACTTAGGTACTTACGAAGTGAAATTAGATTTTGACGCACGGAAGCTTTGGAAGTTTAGATTATCATTCATTCCACGAGATATCATTCCAACGTACGTACTTTTACACGAAATGTTCATCAGAATTTCTCTACACGCGAATGTATCTTAGCAATTTCTGGAAAGACATTTTTTTTCTGTACTTACTGTCAGTTGTACTGAAGCTGTCTTGAAAATTACCGGGCTTAAAATTAGCATAGATGTTGAAATATCGATGCTAATAATTCATTGACGATTTATATACCTATACTTAGATAGGTAAGTGCGAAAATGAATAGAATATATATCATGTGATAGCAAATAAATTAAAAACATATATAAGCTGTTTTATCCTTTCATGCATAATAAAATGCGTTTGGGATCATGCATGACGTCGAATAACATTTTAATATTTATAAAATGTGCGATTAAAAAATTTTTAATTGAAAAAACAATTATTAGTTAACTTTTATCGAGTTGAAACCTCTCGCGAAAATCATCGGCGGCAGACAATAGTCTTTGCATGAAATTTGCGGCCATCAGTGTTAATTGAAAGTTAGCAGTGCATTGACCAAGAAAGGAATGAAATATCTTGGATAAAATGCCATTTCGTTTCATGTATATTCTAACGAATAATTTTAGAGTTGAATGTCGTAGAAAAATTACTCGTGATTTATGTACGGCTGTACACACGAAATTAGTACTCGAAAATTTGTTCTTATACACACTAGTTTCATTGTAACGTAGAAAAATACAATTGCATTTGACTGTAATTGTTATTAAATTATTAAGCGACATGTTCGAAAATGTTATGACAATATTGAACAGAAATATTAAGCATATTATGCTCCAAATATAATTTACGCTATACAGTAAGGCACGGTTAACTATCCTCTCGCCTTATAAGTGGAAAAGCTTGGTGAGAGAAGAACCGTGGAAAGGTAATCGTGCTTTACTATACATTGTGTATATTGTGCCATGCGATGTTTAGTAAGCTCTTAACAAAATGATTCCATGTTTCAATTATAATAATAAAAAAAAATTATTATGTGAAAGTTGTTCGCTTTCAGGGTCGGTGCGATGTGATGTAGCATTTCAAAAATTCTACATAAAATAATTTTTAAACAAAAGAAATAAAATTTGAAGAAAATAATTAAATAAAACATAGTTAAACGATGCAAAAAGTTGTTTGATTTACTAATTATTTTGTTGTACCCTTTATAATATCAATCCGCATTTCACATTTCATCATTTTATTAATGGAATACTACCGATGAATAAAATTTACACTTGAAAATTTATTAACGCAGCATTTATACTGCTTCAACACTGGAATTCGAAGTAAGCGTATTCAGACAGTCGACGATAATCGATCCTTACACGTCTAAACAGCGTTTAAAGTATAATAACCTTATGCACAATGCACATAATTGAAATTATGAATTCGAATGGAATTTAAATTTCTTAATCACTGCAGAATGTGTACGCGTACAATGTAAAACTATTGCGTAACATCGTGTCATTCAAGTTTATACGCATTCGTAAGTGCGTCGTCATATGCCGTTCAATTAATATTGAATGAAAACAGTGCGGTCAATAAAAAAAAATAGTAAACATTTCGCAAAAAATTTTCATCCTTCTTCTTTCACTACACAATCGTTCCTTGAATGATTCACTGGAGTTGTTACCAGCAAACGGAGGAAAAATATTTACTATTTCTTATTTAGTTTACATAATTACATAGTTCGATTTAAACATGTGTATCGTATGAATTTCACATTAAGAGATACCTTCGTCAGATCACAACGGATTAACATCTGCGAATAACAACCCCTTTAAATGAAAGAAGACGAACGAACGATCAAACTGATTTTTAAGGTGTCAATATTGCGATACCTCGTTTGAAAAGTGAACAATTCGAGTCTATGCGTGTAAGTTTGTCAAGACGTTTTATAGGATCGTGTCTCCTTCATCGATGCCCAACATCTTTAGATCGTCTGGTCCTGGTTGAGTATCCACTTCCGCTTCCGCCTGCGTTATTTCTGGTGGCGGTTGATCCATGTACTCTGGTCCGTAGCCAACGCACCCCAACATACTATACATAGACGAGTACATGATATTACTTTCTTGGTGACTTTGCTGCTTGGTTTCTGTTTCTTCCTTAGGGAAGATAATGTTCAGCGCCTCTTGCAAATCATCGGGCAAAGGAATGCTTGGATCTGTCCGCTTTTCGGTTGGCTCTGGTATGTCGGATATTTCTTGCGTCGCGCCCTCCACGGTTGGCATCGGGGGTGGCGGTGGATTTTGATGATTCTGAACGAAAGGAGGAACAGCAGGCATCTGCGGCGGTGGATTTGTCATAAATGGTGGATGGGTTTGCACGGGCGGACGCACCACCGGTTGATGCGGTGGAAACCGTGGTTGACTCTGGACGAATGGCGGTGGATTCGATATGAACGGCGGAGGGGGTCGATTCGTCGAGAACTGTGGTCTGCTTTGCACTGTCGGTTGCTGTTGTTGCTGCTGCGATTGCTGGGCCGAGAAAGACGGCGGCGGTCTGTTCAAGGGTGGCGGAGGATGAGGAGGCAACGGTAATTTCGCTACGGTTTGTGGTTGCTTCTGTTGCTCCATCATCGGTTCTTCGATCAACGTCTCTTCAGATTGATCTTCGATTTCCATATCAACCACCTGCTGCGTCGGTTTAGCTTCGTTCAACACCGGCGGCGGCGGAGCTACCAATATCTTCATCGGTTGATTTTTATTAGCTTGAGCCATTGGATTAGCAGCATTGTTACCGCCACTCATGTTATTATTGTTACTACCACCGAGATTTAATGGGGTGGCAAGCTTCGTGATGTGCACGACACCCGGCGGATTTATAATCTCATTGGGAACTTTCGGCGTATCCTCGAATTTACTTTGTTGATAAGGTAGCGGTGTGATATCCTTTTCAGGCAGCTTCGGTTCTTCGGTTTTTTTCTTGAACAGCGGCAATCTACCGATGAAGGGCAGCTTACCTTTCGATACCTGTGACGCTGACTTCTTCGTCTGCACACTACCCTTCTTAGATTTGGACGCAGATTCGTTCGTCTTCTTCTCAAATTTTGACTCGTCGTTGGACGAATTGTCGTCCCTTCTGTCTTTACTATACTTCTCGTAATTTCTCTTTGGGCTGTCACGCCAGTTCCTTTCACGTCGCGGGGATTCGTTGCTATCCCGTTTTCGTCTATCATCGTAGTAATCTCTTTCTCGGTCTCGGTCCCTGTCTCGATCTCTGTCTCTGTCTCTGTCGCGTTCTCTGTCCCTGTCTCGCCCGCGTCTCCTATCGTATCTACTGTAACGATCGTACTTATCCTCTCGTCTGTCATATTTCCTATCACGATCCTCTTTGTATCTGTCGCTCTCTCGATCTCTGTCGTCCTCTTTCTCCAAAGATTTGTTCTCGGGCGGTTTTACGGTCATGTTCACCTGCTGTTTCGTCCAGAATCCCATGTGAGGTTTCGGCATCTCTTCCGGCTTTGGCAACTCGATCGGCTTGTTGGCTATCGGTTGCGGTTTCTCTTCTTCCTTCTTTATCCAGAATGGTTTTGGCGGTTCCTTCGGTCCCCAGGCTTCCAAAATCTCCGACTTTGCTTTGTCCACGAAAGGAGCTGGTTCCTCTTCCTCTTCTTCCTCTTCCTCCTCTTCGACGATCTTCTCCTGGCTGAGTCTTCGATTGCTCAAAGATTTCATCTCTTCCTCCTGTTTCGCTTTCAATTTATCTCTGATCGAATTTAGCAATTGTCTATCATCGGGTTCGGCTACTTGTGGTTCCGGAGTCGAAGGCTGATTCATATGTTGGGACACTTTCGACCAGTGACCTTTTAACTTTATTCGATGATAATCTATTTCTTCGTTGAGGATCGCCTGAGTCGATGCTTTCATTTTATTTCGCATGGCAACGCGAATACTTTTGGACATGTCCTGATCAGAATCCGTATCGGAGTTCTCAGAATCACTGGAACTGTCACTACCGCTGCTCCTGTTTCTTCGTTTCTTAGACTTCTTCGATTTCTTTTTGCTCTTTTTAGATTTTTTCGACTTGGTCGGCGGATCGTCATCTTTGTGCTTTTGCAGCTCCATTTGGATCTGCTTGTGCTTCTCTTCGGAGAATGCTTTCTCACGGTCTGCCATCCAGTCAGTTTCCCAATGTGGATTCTGTTCCACGAAACTCTACGGAAAGAAATTACAAATTTTAGTTATCGCTCGATGTAGATTGGTTGAAACGCCGAACAGAATGCTTGGAAGAGAAATTCAGAACTTACAGAGTAGTTCTCGGAATGCTGCTTAGATTTCAGATGCAAACTCGCGCAATGGAGATCGCCTATCCAGGAATCGCAAAGTTTACAGTACCATGCTGTCGCAGCGCTGAAGAACTGCAGACCTATAACCAAATAATTTGCTGCTTAGCATTGCTTAAGCTTTGAAAATGGTAAACAATTTAAGTTCATAAAGAATGACCTTATATTCTGCCACGACACATTCATGTCACTGAAAACAAAAATAATATATTAAAAGATGCTCAACAAATAGTTGATAACATTAAATATTCTTCGGCGATCCAACGTTGATTTCTAGAAGAAAAGGAGGAGAGGGGAAAAAACAATACTTTATTCATACAAATATAGCACAACTAGTACAAATGAAATAAAAACGACAGAGTTACATGTAGTTGTATAAACTTCTTCTGCGCGTACTGCAATTGCCATTTACATGTTTACTCTTTTTTTTTCTCGATTGATCATCGAAATATTGAGAAGGTCCTAATTGTTGCAAGTTTTATATACAGTTCAATAGAAAACGATGTTTCAGCATTTACAGTACGTTTCACAAAAATATTTCGATTTATAATAATTTATATCACGAACGTATATACATATACACACATATTTTATATATGCATGTATATATAGATATAACAAATATACTGAGTAAAGTAAGTAACACGAGCAATTGCCACAGTTTACACATTTTGTATCAACTAAATACGTTATTTGTATTTTGTACACGCACCATCATTATGATAATATTGATTTTTCTTTATGTCGATATGTTTTTTCACAATTGACAAAAAGTCTTCTTTCGTTCGTTCTTGACCGTGAAATCGACCTATGTACGACGATACGATGAACAATATACACTTGTGAAGAATAACTACGATAAACTATTCGATTATAGAAGCTGAAATATCTGAAACCGCTCGGAATTGTGCTCCTTGAGTCCATTTTAAAATCCAGTGTGCATCTCTACAGTGTTTTACCATCGTTGCTACAAAATTTGCTGCTAACAATGTGACATACATATACCTCCCGGAAACGATATATATATATATATAGAAATGAAAAGGAAAAATGTAACATTCGTCCTTTTAGAAAATCATGAAGTTAATAAGTCGTCATGAAGAGTAAGAAAAAAAATCTCAGACGTTCTTAATGCACGTATTACACTCAATGATTTAGTAAAAGAAAAAAGAAGCTTGTAAAGCGCCGGTTTCTTTCTGTAAACAATTCGATTCTGTGTGGGTCGACATTTACGTGCGTTAATGCAGACAAATTTTCGAGCAAACCATAGCTGTAGGTCTCTTCAATACATACCGGACACCACAGTGTCTGTGCACAAGCTACGGAATTGTATTCTATTAGTAATTATCCACTGAAATGAACCATACCTTTAATCGGTGTTCTTTTCGTTGGCAGTCCAGGATAATAGGGCACTTCCTTTTCCGTTCCGTCTCCATTCCGCTCATGCCATGGCATATCAACAATCTTGCGTTCCTGTTGTAGGGAGTAAAACGTTAATGGGCAACGCTCGTTACAAACTGTACAAAAAATATTCGGTGGTACTTTTTTAAGTGACATATTGTTATGGTACACCAAACAAGCTATGTACCAAGTACCTGCACGTCGACAATATATATCATCCTTACACACGAAATATAGTTCAAATTAGAAATACATAGTCTTAACCGAATCCGTTTTTGTTCTCTCACAACCGTAAATCAATAATCAGTTACATTTTTCTGCATTCCTGTTCTAATGATTGTAAATTGTTATTTATAAAAGCGATCGGCAATTGGGAATATTCTAAATTCAAATTATTTAAAGGTACCTATACCAAAGGTTGAAGGAGGCTTTTTTACTAAGGGCTCTACTATTACAACGATAGGGCGACTTACTAAACAAGCTTCTTTGTGTTCATTGCTATGCAGATGATTCAAATATTCCTTTGCCGTTTTAGGAAATATATCGCAGACTTTACACCAATGCATTTCCGGATCGTAATGTACAAAATTGTACATAGGTTTTGCGTCTTCGGGAGACCTTCGTTCTTTCATTTCCCTTTCGATTTTGGACTCCTTGTCGGAATCGGACACAGACGATCTGTCAGGCGATTCTGATTTTCCTTTCGGAAAGTCTTCTTTAGGGCTCCTTGAACGTTTGTTAATTTCTAGTTTAAATTTGCTTTTAAGATCATCGACGGTAGCTTTGTCCCCGATAATTCCGGTAAGCATGTCGATAACGTTGTGTATTGATTTCATTTTGTTCTGTATTTCGATCTGTAAACAAAAATATTAAAGTGATGATGATCCGTGCGTATTTTTAAGGTTCCCAATTTTTTTACTTTTAATTTTCAGCCATCTTTGGTAAATTAATTTTATTATATTTTCTTTCTACCAAAGAAAACTCGAAACCTACGTTTCATAATAAAATGTTTAAAACGACTCGAACAATAAAAAAAAAAGTTTAAAAAACGAACAATTAAATATAAATTGTACCAAGCCCTGTTTTACGTAATGGTACATTTATTTACCTGCAACTTTTGATTCTCTTTTATGATACGAGTATTTTCCCGTCCACCCTCTTTACCAATTTCATCACACTGTTGACGCAGGATTTCCAGCTCGCGTTGTAACGTAGTTGATTTCTTAACGTATTCCTCCCGCTGCTTAGCCAAAGTTGCTTTTTGCTGTTTTACTTCAGCTGCGATTGCTGCTGGGCATTTAATTTGAAAAGATATTAAAGGCCGCATACGTTATGATTTTTCAACTTACAATAAAAATTATATAATTAATAACAGAGCATAGAATTGCGACCGAGTACATACAATGATATTGAAGCAAATTAGATGACACACCTTCTTTCTTGGCATCCTCTGGTCTTGCCAAGGATGATACTAATCCAGAGGAACCACTATCCACTGGTCTTGATGATTCTTGCTGTGATGTTAATGTGGGAGGTGGAGGTGCTTGTTGATTGTTATAAGGTACCTGGTTCCCTTGCCAATTTGGTGGTGGATAATCCTAACAAAATAAACATACATTTAATCTCAAACACTCAAATAGTATTCCTATGGAACCTTACCTTTATTCGTCCATACTCAAATCAGAACTTTGGATAATACACGGAAGATTCTTGAAGATGAATCATCTGGTCAATAATACTGGTTTCCAATGTCGATGCCAATAAAATAAACAACGCGAACGTTATACTTACGCGGGGATTCGCAATAATTCGCGATACAAAGGAACATAACGTACGTCCCCAAAAATTAATAATACTACCAATTATTATTGTAACACTTTGGTAGATTACGTAAAAATTTCATAGTTATTTGCACAAATTCATAGATTAAACCGACAAATAAATAGGTAATATCCCGAAAGATTTTCACAGTGACTTAATTGTATTGCCTTGATTCCAATACAACATCGATTACCACAGAATAGGATTATCATTCCCATAAAAAATACACAATTCCTCCTACAATTAAAGTCTGTTTTTGTTCTTATGTTAAATAAACTTACGCTGCGATAACCAGTTGGTTGCTGGTAACTGTAGTCATAGCCCTGCCCATAGTTGTAGTTGTAATTATTATATCCTTGATTGTAAGCTGCTATAGGCGGTGGTGGTTGACTTGTGTTTGGTGGTGGTGGTGCCTGTGGAAGAGAGATAAAATATATGTAACGTATCTCTTTTATGTATGTAATGCCTTAATGTAATGATACATGACCTTCTTCGCAAACCAAATAAAAAAAAGGTACAAAAAACTTAAACATAGTTTGAGCAGTACCTGGTATTGATTATGAACTGCTGGAACATAACCTCCAGAACTGTTCGGATTAGGAGTAGAAGCTTGAGACTGAGAAGTCTGCTGTTTCCACTCTTGTTGCGAACGACTGGACTCCTTTCTTCTTCTGTCCCGGGAACTTGAACGGGATCTTCTGTCCCTAGAACGCGAACGTCGGTATCTGCCTCGTCTTGGGGATGGTGATCGATCGTACTTCCTAGACCTTCTCCTGTGAGAAGAATCTTCTGAATCCGCACTGGGGCTTCTGGGTCCTTTACGCCTCGATTCTTGTTCCATCTTCCTATACTTTCAATCTATAAAAATTACTTTTATCAAAAATGCATAACGAATACGACCATAGTAACATGATATTAACAGATTATGTTGTTAGTGTCCAATGAAATAGTTCAGAAACACCCTGTACATTCATGACACAATAATGCGTAATGCATTTAGTCAGACGATAAAACGGTAAAACCGAGCGTCCAATTAATTTTAATATAGATCGACATACTAGATTATCGTACGATCCTGACTAATAAGCATTATTTAAACGAGAAAAAATAATTTTAAATGTCGCATTGCAGCCATTACTATTTTGCCGATAAAACATCGATATTACTTTTCAGCATGTTCAACGCAATTTCAAGTTATTACCTTCGTCAACGATTTTCCTGCGATTTTAGTACTCCGCTTTCGGTAAGTACCGACGCGAAACAACGAGAATAATATGTTTTAAGCCGCTTAAAAATCATTCAATCGACATAACGTAACGCGGACCAAAGACGAATGGAAGAAGCCGAACTATGACTGTGAACGAACCGCATAGAAATAAAAAGATATTAGATGAATGAACTCAAAATGTCGTTCCTCGACTCAGCGCGACGACCGACGTTAACAATTTAAAAGCTCACTAGATTCTAGTAATTAATTTTTGAATCACGTTCGTTCCCAATCACGGTGATTTTTCACAGTGATACGTGATTTTTCATGATCGTTTCTGGTTAGTTAGAGCATAACCACAGCCGACTCTAGTAGTACTAGCCGTGCTATGGAACGTGGCAACACCGCTCATGTGCGGATCGGGAGTCCTATTTTCAATAGTGGAGTTTTGTGTTCAGGATTATAATTAACGTTATTTTGCGATATAAAATTATACTAATATACAGTATTTTTTATTAATTATGTATAAGGAATATATGAATATCATAACTATAGTAAGTAGAAGTAATACAGAAGTATATTAATATTTATAAATGTGGTATATATTTTGTGGACTGTCGGAATAGTTTGGTGTTGTGATGCATTATATTTGAAATATTTACAGAGATTTCAAAGTGTGAAACAAGTTAAAACCATCTTTGAACCAAACTGAAGGATTTAAAAATTGATAAAGGTATGTATAAGTTAATAGAGACCTGAAATAGGCAAAATTATTGGTACGAAGCCAAAAAGGTTAAGTGCCTGTGGAAAAGAGGTTAGCATAATTAGCTATTGAAAGGAACAATTATGGAGTTAATTATAAAATCGTGTTAGAGGACAGTATGATAATTGTGAAAAATTTCCTCACCACCCTAGGGGTATTTACCAAGGCGCGTTACCCTTTTTTTTTATTATAATGGGTGGTTCGCCAATAGCCATATCATCCCATTTTCTAAAATAAAATTAATATTTTTAAATAGAACATAACAAAAACATAACTTTTGTATTCTTAAAGAAATAAAGTATTACATTTTGAAATAATAATAAATAATTTTGAATAATATTAATAACAAAACATATCAAAACATACTTTGAAATTCTCTTGAAATACAACTAATAAAACTTTGAATCTTGTGAAATAGTATTCATAATAAAAATATACTAAGCAAATAAATAAAACTCTATTAATGTATTAAAACATATTGAAAGGAATAAGTTAAATATATATAAAAATTAATATTTTAAGAAAGATGAAATTAAAAAAAATCATTGAAAATCTAGTTCCTATTAAAAGTTTTTAATTTACGATTTTTAGAAGTGATGTCTGTACGTGTTTCCAACTGACTATTATTTACAGTTTTCACATAATCGTTTAATAAAATATTTGAAAAAATTGATAATAATTTAAACGAAATACTTTGGTAAGCTCGACCACAAACGCATGTATCTGAAAATGCTAAATAATGTATGTCTGATTGAATGCTAATATATGTTAATTTACATAAAATATGTTTATGATTTCCAGATTGCAAAAATTGAGATTCTAAATTGCCATCATTTATTATGGCTTCCATTATTGCATACATATGAATAAATGAGGCTATCACTTCTTCAGTGGGGACAGAAAGGCCCCCTCTTTGTAAGTGATCAAAATATACATCGCCTACAGTTTTACCTTTATCCTCCACAACTAATAAACGACATATATTGCAATTTAATTTTTTAGCAACAGAATGGGACCCATAACCAGAAATATAAATTTTAATGGAATTATCTACAACACATTCGGACAAGTATTCGGTATCGAAGATTCCTGAGAAACAAGTCACATCAGTGGGAAGATCATGAAGATCGTTATTATTGTCATCACAAATTCGAAATTTATTTTTGATTTCAGTAAGAGAAACCGAATTTGCCGATTTTGTAAATATATGTTTTAATCTAATTTTTTTTTCTGCATGAATTATTTCGTTATATGACACATGATAATTACAACCAGATAAAAGTCTATAATTTCCAAATCGTTTTTCTAATTTTTCGGTTGTAAAATGGAGGGTACTACATTCCTTATAAGCCTTGGACATCTTAACAAAACATTCTCCAGTACACCATTGGGCGATAGAATACCGTGGTACCTTTCAATATCAGTTTCTGCAAAATGCAAACTACAGACGGCAGAATATTTTGATGGTGTTCAATTCTTACGAGGAATAGCAACCCTCCATTTCTCCCGCAATTCCTCATCTTTGGGGAATAAAAATATAGAATTGTAATTATTATCTTTTAAGGTACTATCATAATTTCCCTTGCAATTGGAAACACAGCAACGCCGTGGCATTATTAATGAATATGTGAAATTTATAAAAAAAATGTATATAAAACAAAATGTCCAAAAATGCTATAGATTATATTAAATAAGTGTGCTACACACCAAAATCAGGATCTGTAGAGTTAATATAAATAAATGAAACACTTGGATTATTGCTCCGTTGCTCACATTTAATGGACTTCAGTACATTAATATTTGAAACATTTGAAAGATAGGCGGGAGACCGGAAGGCCGGTAGATGGAGCCTATGTAGCCCAGAGACCGGTGGGTAGTGGGAGGCTGTTACGGTAGGTTGGGCTAGGTATATCGAAGCCGGACTCCCGCGGTGTTGCCATTTTACCTACAGCACGGCTAGTACTAGAGTCGTTGCGCGCTATCACTAGTAATATAAATGACCAGAGATGCCAGAAAAGCACCGCCGGGTGCACACGCATACATGCCAGATACGCGTACGTGAGCTCGTGGAGTTTCGGAAAGTCGACAAAGGCAAACTGACGCATGCCCTCTTTCTCGATTCTCCGAAGCTGTCCGAAGTAATTTCGGATCGCCTCGTGGGAGTCGAGAGAGAAAGGCTCACATTTGCCTTCTCGCTCTAAACAACTGAAATCCGACCTCCCGTCAACGGCATACGATTTGGATTCTCGAGCCGAGATTCTCGTAAAATGACGTAGTCGAACTGGGGAGTTGCTCCAACGTGCCGTTATTATCGGTATTCCCATATTCATTAACTTCCATTCCCAAATCCTAATTAAAGGGAAAATTCCGAATAGTTCTTCCAAAATAACATCATTGTTCGTGTCTGTAACTGTGATGAATACTGGATATCATAATAATTAAAGCATAGTAAAATAATCAAGAAGGACTGTTCATTATAAGCGTTATCTACAAATCTAGAGGTAAGTTGTATATGATATATAAAAAATGCACATATATATATATATATATATCTACAATTGTTTAAATCTATGTATATAATATATATAATATGCTTCTATTAAATAACGTTTATTAGACATTTTCTTCTACAAAAACAAATGGCGATATTTTTCTGATTTTTTCATTTATGTCTGTTTGTTAAATTAAATAATATAAGTTCATCTTAATAAAAATGTGATTAGTCAAAGCAAAGACCTATTAAAACAAGATTAGATAACTAGGAGTCTATTGTAAACTGATACACTAAAAGTAATGTTGATATTAATTGATACTTATCTATGGAATTCCAGCAAAATGTTTAAAACACCAATAATGGTTTTACAAGAATCCACTATGAGACTTGGCAGTTTACCTATCTACACAGAAATGCCTTGTACATCTCATAATAGACAATTTAATGTTGAAGTCAAATGGAAGAATTATAGTTGTGTAGGAATGGGAAGTAATAAAAAGTTAGCCAAACAAAATGCTGCTAAAGAAATGCTTAAGATGTTGGTATCATCAGATGAAATTTCAAAATCTGTATTATCATTCCTATCACAATATGAATTAATCAATCCAATAATAAATACGTCTGATTCTACATCTGATATGGATTCCTCTTCTAATTGTTCGAATAATTCTTGTTCATCTGTTACAACTACAGATCTGGAAGATATAATAGACAACTATGTGAGTGGTTTACAAGTAAGTATATTGTAAAATATTACTTCTTTTACAATGCTACTTAAATGTATATTTTTATTATTAAAACTGTCTCCCAGGAATTTTGTATATCAAATGCTATACCTACACCCTGTTACAATACTGTTAGTATAAATGGACCATCTCATCTCAGTGTGTTTACTGTAAGTTGTGATACATATAATGTACATAAAGAAGCATCTGCACATAAAAAAAAAATTGCCAAACAAAAAGCAGCAAAAGAAGTCTTTAAATATTTAATGGAAAACGCAAATCACTGTACTAATAAACCAGAAATAAATATTGTAAATCTTGAAAATGCCGATTTTAAATTTGAGAAAGTTATAAATATATATCGTGAACGAAATGATATTAAAACAATCGCAACTGACAAAACAATTCAAATTAAGGATTATCACGATGCATTAACTAACTTATTCAGTAAAATTCCAAAAGAACAGAGAAACTATTTGGTAAATAGACATATGCTAGACAAATATAAAAATGATTTGAATGATATGAGAAACATTATTTGTAACACGTTGAAGTTAACTGTGGATAAAATTATGTTTAGAACAAAACAGAATAATATATTCATGGTTGGAATTAGATTGACTTCTATGCCCATAATATTTCAAATTGGTCAAGGTACAACCATAATAGAAGCAGAAAAACATGCCCTATATAAATTATTTGAAAAAATATTTTTATTTTTTTCGTAATGTATAAATAAAAAATTATAAAATATACAGTAGTGCCCACATAAGTGACCAAGCTCGGGACCGGCCGTGATCACTTCTCAGAATTCAACAGAGATAAGGAAAGAGAATAAGTGCAAGTGAGATACAATAGCTGGCACCCGAAACCATATTATACAATGCATGGATAACGTCCGGAGTCCGGCGTCAAGTTACGCTTGACACGCTTGATGTTCGAAGCCGCTTAGCTTCTAAGAATTGGTGGGGATAATTCTGGTCATATATGTGGGCAAAAATCCGGTCACTTATGTGGACACTATTGTATATGATTTTAAATATATATATTGTAAGCGTTAAACCGTTGGCTCCCGAATTTCGGTGAGCGACCGGTAGGCAGTTATGTGTTTAAACATACTTTCCTACTGAATATATATTTATATTGATAATT